AGGAATGTTTGTTTTTCACATTTTAACGATATTGTACTTTGAAATTTTAAGTAAAATGAGTTTTTAATGCGTCTTAGAGTAATTACTAAACTGTTTTTTGTATATTTAATTAGCAAATTTGGAATAATACTTTGTTTACTTGCAGTAAAACAGTAATTGTCCATTAGCCCAACATTTTTTTTACATAAAAGTGTGAATATAAATGTTATATTTGGTTTCCAATAATGTTAAAGTTACAATTAATTCTATAAAACATAATTAAATAATATTATTATAAACATTCTTATTGATTAATAAGTCATTGTAGTAAGTACTTATAAATATTACTAAATGTTTATTCTCAATTATTAACTTTTAACACCCTAGATTCGTTTAATAGTTAGATATGTTAAAATGTTTCAGTAAAAGTCAGAAATTAGTGAATATTAGTAAGTACTAGTAAAAGCTAATTAGTCACTGATTTACTAACACAACGCCAGTAAAAGTTCAATAACCAATTTTGAAACGACCCTTTGGAGCTTACTAAGAAATGCTAGAATTCAACTTCTTTCCTTTTCACTATCTTTTACCAGCAGCCCTTAACTTAGTATCCGGAAATTACGATCATAGTCTATAGATTATTGGCGTAACTACAGGGGTGACCAGGGGTGCCGCCCAAGTTCTGCTGGGTAACCCCCAGAGAAATCTTGACTGATCAAATACTCTTGGCTAAATATTAATTTTTATTTGCTTGTGATGTTGTAAAAATGACTTTTTCCATTTTTGTTTAGTTAATATTATTTTGCTTCAAAAAATGTGTGTGTGTATTTATTTTTTTACAAAATTTGTAGGTATTTAAGTAATCCACGGAACACGGGTTGATAACCAAGTCTATCAAATTTATTGATAGAGAAATTTTCTTTTTTAAATTCATCTAAACGTTTTATTCAAAAAAATGTATGTGTAGGCCCTCTCCCCAGGATGAATTGGTAGTTACGCTAATGTCTATAGACAATCATGTCAACATCATTTTCCACAAAAAGACAAAGAAGAATAAAAAAAATTCATGATGAAATCCAGAATAATTACCTAAATCAAAATTCTGAAGATAATTTAAAGATATCAGTGTTTTATGGTACTTTATAGACATTTTAACTGGTACTCTAGAGAATCGGTTTGAAGACTTTCTTAATATATGCCAAAAATTTAATTGTTTATTAGATATGGACGTCAATGATGACAATTTAAAATGTCTTATGGATCTACAGATATTGTACCAAGCGGATGTTAAACCTTCTTTAGTTGAGGAATATAAACATGTTTGCAGTTTATTGGAAGAAATTAATGCTGATGACAACTAACTTGTACCTGACGAATATTTATCATTTTTAATTTCCAATGACCTAGAGTCTCCATATCCATCTTTATGTGCATTATTGAGGATTTTTTACACCATAGCCACCAACACTGCTGGTGCAGAACGATCTTTCAGTAGATTAGGAAGAATTAATAATTACCAGAGGTGCACCAGCACACAAGATAGAACCAATTATTTATCACTTTTCAGTATTGAAGCAGACACAGTCCAGGATCTAAATATAGACGAAATAATTGATACTTTTAAATCGGTTAAAACAAGACGTTTGCATCTTTGAAATAACTGTTTTGTATACTAACTTTTTTAATAAACAAATTTATAATTAAAAAAAAAAATAAAAGTTTATATGTAGTCTTATTATTTAAAAAGAGTTTGTAATTTATTTGATCCTTTCTTGATCATTGTGCCCCTTAAGGCCTTCGCCCCCTCCGCCCTTTTATCTACGACATGCTACTGCCAAGACATTCAATTTCAATTTACCATGGTAATCGCAAAACAATTTCTGATGCACGTGATCAACTTTGAGTAATAAGCAACGCTGCCAGATTGTGATGGATTTATGAGATGAATCTTAATTTAAAATTGACAAACAACATATTTATTATATCGTTTTTTAAAGAGTTTTATGTTTTATTTTTAATTTAATACCTAATAATATTAGTGATTCATTGATTTATTTGATTTATAGCTTATTCTACTTATTACATATTGGTAAAAACTAGTCCATTATGAAGATTATTCTGAGCGTTATAACGGGGTTATTTATTTATTTATTGATTTACATCTTACAACGCCGTAAGTGGTAATAACAAGTAAGAGGGTGCTATTAATGTACAAACTAATAATCACAGAATTTAATAAAAACTTTGAAAGTGGTATATTTAACATATGATTACTACAATGAAACTTACTTTTCCGACTGCAATCAAGGGTAATAACTTATTTATTATTTATTTATTATATTCTTTATTGTCATGTTCTCGTTCAAAATAGTTTATCAGGGAAGGTACAAGCTCTTTGCTTCGACTGTTTAAATGCTTCGGCATATTTTCAATGCACAATTTCACGAAATACAATACAAAAACTCGAAAATTTAGTTCTTAAAAGAACTGTTTGTATTTAAAAGTATAATTTAAAAAAATACTATGAAAATAGGCAAAAATCGAGAATTACTCACAAAGATTCAACAACAACATGATATTATACAAAATAATGACTGACATTAGGATAATTGTCAAATAATAAACGACAACCATGCTGAAAACGGCGCAATATGACCAACATAGCGATAATAAAATTTGGTTTAAACTAATTTTTGCAGCTTTAATCTAAATAAAATATGTGTTACAATAGTTTGCTCTATAAAGTAAAATGAAGAGCTGCTCGGTATCTTAAATTGTACAACAAATTTAAACATTTTTACCATAATTTTACTTAGTTAGGTTTAAAGATTTTAGTGTCAATGTCGATATGATTGACGACGTGCATCGGAAAATGTTTTGCCATTACAATAGACAGGAAATATGTTTACAGAATCGCACTGCTGGATTTCCAACATTTATTGTAGAGCCGCACGCGGGTCGTCTGGTTTTCGAAGCGGAATCGTCTCGAACTCCGAGCGAATCTCCCTACACTTTATAGTTCAGTCATTCATGGGGATCAAAAAAGGAGCCTGCTTGGAAAAAAGTCCGGAAGCTTTGAAACTTTGCAGGTTTATAGGTTTTGGGGTCCCTAACTAAAATCCATAAAATGCACATTTCCAGACTTGCCCCCGGCGTCGCAATCTTGCCTAGATGGCGCCCAAAATCGGTATTTTATAAATATCTCGAAAACTGTGCGTTTTTCGCAAAAAATTGAAGAGAGCAAAATTAAAGAGAACAAAATTTCCTATAAAAAGGTTATATAAAAATTTCGCAAGTCAACAGTTTAGGCACAAAATCCCTGGAAATTTTACAATTTTGCGTAAAGTATGATATACATATTATAGTCGATTTTCCGAAATCAAATGTCGATTAGTGTTCACTAAAACTAGTTTTAGTTTAGTTTCTTTAATTTTGTCATGAAACAGTGGCGTATCATTAATTCGCTTATTAATTTATGAATAATTAGTTGTCGTACTGGACAGCATTCATTGCGAACTTACCACAGGTTCAGCATTGGTCTGGTTGTACCAAAGATGCCGAAGAATGGGGTTGGAAGAAAACAAAAACAGGCATTACTTCAGTCACTATGTTGAAAGATCCAGCTCCAAAATCCCTAGTGGCATTTTAATCCTGTAAACGCAAAACCAACAACTGTAGTAAAGCCACAAATGTCTGCGGATGCAGAAAAGCAGGATTAAAATTTTCAATGATTTGTGCATACTGCAATGGGAAATCCTGTGACAACGCCACTGAAGTGGCACTCGACGAATCCGATGAAGAGGGGTTGGACTTGCCTGTAGATATCCCTCTGGCGGCTGAAGATGAAGAGTTGGACGTATTGAGGGACCACCCTGATGAGCCCAGCACAGCAGACACGATCGACTTTGACATCAATGAGTCAGATCCGTCGGGCTTGTGCAGATAAGTTAAAGTTTTTAATGTACCTAGTGGAGTAGGCCTCCGGGGAGATCACGTTAAAATAAACGCGCCATGTACTTTATCTCTTGGGTGGTGTGGAAACAAGTACACATTTTCAATAATTAAAATTAATTATTCATAAATTAATGAGCAAATTAATGATACGCCACTGTTTCATGGCAAAATTGAAGAAACTAAACTAAAACTAGTTTTAGTGAACCCTAATCGACATTTGGTTTCGGAAAATCGACTATACATAATATATCATATTTTACGCAAAATTGTAAAATTTCCAGGAATTTTGTGCCTAAACGGTTGACTTTAGCGAAATTTTTTATAAAACCTTTTTTATAGGAAATTTTATTCTCTTTAATTGTGCTCTCCTCAAATTTTCGCGAAAAACACATAGTTTTCAAGATATTCACAAAATACCAATTTTGAGTGCCATCTTGGCAAGATGGCGGCGCCGGCGGCAAGTCTAGAAATGTGCATTTTATGGATTTTAGTTAGGGACCCCAAAACCTATAAACCTGCAAAGTTGCAATTCTTCCGGACTTTTTTCCAAAACCCCAATGACTGAACTATTACCTTGCTATATAAATAATAGTATCAATCACTTCGACTCCGCGTCGACCGCCAAGAACCACCTAGCCCACGAATGGGTCGCATTCGTGGGCCTACTATTATTTCCGTAGGAAGTATAGTGGAGGGAGATTCGTTCCAAGTCGTTTTTCGAGACGACCTGTGTGTGCACGGTCTAACAGATTCATATTCTTATAACAGAGATATCAACAGTCGATTTGATCAGAACCCTACTCTCACCATCTTCTCTGTGCCCTTTCTGTCATGTGAGAGACTCTTATCATGTATGAGACTGTCTGTGGTTTGCTTACTGGTATTTTAATATGTCTCCAATATTTATATTGGATTAAAAACGTATCGTTATTTTTTTGTTGATTAGGTACACATACAAAATTATTAAACTATTACGAAAAAATTTAGAAGACTAATAACTATAAACAACTAATAACAGTAAAACAAGACATGTCATGTGAAGTTCACTATTAAAGAATTCAACTTCATGTATATTATATTACTATATATTACAATTCCCAATTATAATACACTATGCTGATGTCCTAATAAGGGAAGAGTTCATCATCTGGAATTTTTGAAAATACATTATTTGCAGTTTGCATGTGAAGCGCCGACCAAATCTCCTGAAAGCCTATTTTTAAGTCGTTGAATGTATCAATTGATTCCTCATTGACTGTATCAATAACCTTTTCGATTATAGAGTTTTCTTCGGCAGGTTGAAAGTCGAATCGAGCATCGTCGGCGAGCATATTCATCGTGTAATTCGTTATTCTAATGTGACTTTTTCCTTTCTTTTTGTACCGTTCACACCAACTTTGATGATGGTTTCTTAAATTGACTGAAAATAATAATTTTAATTTATAATATATTTGCCTCTTAACTGTAAGCACTCTTAACTGTATTGGATGCCGCCATATAAGTAGACTTTTATTCATGCTGCGCGCGTCTCACTTGTACGTACCTCTAAGCTCTAAGGTACGTACTTCTATAGTATTAACTGTTTAATCCAAGTCGAGTTGGAAGGTTTCGTAAGTGTACTGTAAAGGGACATCCTTTTCTATAGGAGTGTCTGGGGCTCAATTTTTGCCAAAAATATGATGGTGAAAACCGCACATCGATATCTATTACTGTTTAGGAGTTACAGGGTGTTTTTCAAAAATGTGCTTTTTCAACAAATTGCTGTAAATTTTTTGCCATCGAAAATTTTGTATTTCTATGAAAACATTTCTAAAGCATCTTTTTACGTAGAATTTAATGGTTTAAGTATATTTTTTTTTAAATTAATAATTTAAGAGTTATCAACAGAAAAAAATGATTTTTTATTTAGGACAATCTGTATATTTTTAATTAAATAAAAAGAACTAAACTATTACCTTTCCAAAAATATAGCACACTTGATATTTTGTTATAATTCCCTGTGAAATACAGAATTTTTTAAAAGTTCGCCATTTTAACTAGTAGAATTTCCCCCCTTATTGATGATATGCCCCTAATGGAACTCGAAAACGTATTTATCCAGCAAGACGAGGCACCGCCTCAGAACGCTGAAGTTATCAGCAAATTTTACAAGAATAATTGAATAGCTAACCAAGATCATAGCCGTTGGCCGTCGAGGCCACCGGACTTAGTGCCTATGGATCTAATCCTATGGATATCCTTGCGGAACAGTAGCGTAGCAACCGCTGTATCAGCTGTATCAATGATACAGGGCCCACTAACCTGAAGGGCCCACCGAGCAGTAAAAAAAATCAAAATATGATGTTAGCATCAAAATTTTTTGTAATTATGCAAACTTTGCTCTTACTTTAATGAAACCCGATATCAACTACAGCCAGAGCACGCGGCCATTACGCATTCGCCTGTCCCCGTATACATCAAACGGTTGCCAAAATTAAAAAATAAAATTGTCATATACCTAATAATTATTGTTATCCTTCTTGATTTTAGTTTCATAATATTTTCTTGTTTTTATTTTTATGTTTGTTTGTTGTTGGTTGTTGGAACGAATATTTATTTTATTTCTGTAGGTATAGTTTTACCAAAGACGTTCCTTGTTTTGATATTTATGTTTATTGTTGGAAAGAATGTTTATTTTATTCCTGTAAGTAGAAGTCATTAACAAATAATAAGCTATTCTGATCAGACGGCAAGCTTTTTTATTTTATTCACCCCCCTCCCCCCTCCATGGTTCTGTCTCAGGGGCCCTCTGCGAAATTCGTGATACAGGGCCCTTTCAATGCTAGCTACGCCACTGTTGCGGAAGAATAAATGTTCTTATTGAAATTGTCCGTATAATCTAGACAAGAATTAGAAGTACTTAGCAGTTATGAGAGGGTATCTTTCATCCCCCAATGAGTTAATGAATTCCGCGAGAAATGTTCAAAAACGACCCCGTCTGTCCATAACAGAAGATGGTGTCGATATGTCGAACACCTGTAGCAAAACGTCACGTCTTGCTTTGCTATATATTTTTATTGTTACTAGATATAGTTTAAATGTGTTGATGTAGGTTAAATATAGTTTAAATTGTTATAAAATTATGCATCTCTCATTGCAAATATTATTTTCGTAAAAATTGATGCTCATAGCTAGAATTTTTTAGCATTACAGCCGGCGCCGTTCAAAGCCTACTTATTTAAAGTGGGCGAATTTTTATAAACCCTATATCTCGAAGAAGAATCGAGCAAAATATCAAGTATGCTATATTTTTGGAAAGGCAATTTTAAATTATTTTCAATAAATTAAAAATATACAGGGTGTCCCATATAAAAAATTAAATTTTCTGTTGATAATTCTTAAATTATTAATTAAAAAAAATTATACTTAAACCATTAAATTCTAAGTAAAAAGATGCTTTGGAAATGTTTTCATAAAAATACAAAATTTTCCATAGCAAAAAAGTTACAGCGATTTGTTAAAAATGCACATTTTTGAAAAACACCCCGTAGCTTTGAAACAGTAATAGATATCGATATGCGGTTTTCACCATCATGTTTTTGACAAAAATTGAGCTCCAGACACCGATATTAGTTTTCGTCTATCTCCTAAATAAAAGGATGTTTCCCTTTAAAAGCGTCCAATTTGACCCACCCTGTACATTTTATTTTACAGAAATATTTATCCGATTTTGTTTAAAGAACCCTTTAAAATGAAGCAAATTGTTCATTTTGAATGGTTTATACGAATTCGTTCTTGAGTTATGAGAGATACAAAAATACTAAATTTGGCAAAAATTTAAAATAATGCGGTCCTGATCAAACAAACATAACAATCACAAGTTATGTCACAATAATATGACAAATCTATTATGATTTAGTTATATTCTCTATGAAAAGTTACAAACAGTAAACTGCAGCCCCGGATCAAAGGGGGGGGCAAACCGGGGCACCTGCACCGGGCGCCAATGTCAAGGGGCGCCAAAATCATAATATAAAGGTGCGTATTCATTATCCGAACGAACGAACGAACGAACGAATAAAAGTGCGGTATATTTAGACGGGGACCGAACGCATGCGGCCGTTCGTTCGTTCGTTCGCTCGACCATCCGTTTCGAGTCGGTACATCAAAGGCGTTCGGCAACAAATGCCTCCGGTCTTCTCGTGCGGTCCTATCGTGCGGTCCCCGTCCATACCACTAGCGAACATTCGTTCGTTCGTTCGTGCGGATAATGAATACGCACCTTAATGCGGTTGAAAATCAAAAAAATTGCTACACAAAGCGCCTAGTATGCACCTTACGTTCTTCTATCAAGTATTCATTTAATTTTAAAACGCTCAGTTAGTTTTTGAACACATTCTAAAGTTTCATTCAGAACCTCGCATTTAGTGGAATAAATTAGCGGTTTCAATTATTACACATTATAATTTTTAATTTACGATCATTCACAATGTTTAAAAAACAATTAAAATTAATAGAATATACTAGCAACAGCTGGCGATAGTCAGTTGTATCCATAAAGAAAGCCAAATATTTAGCTCATAAAACAATAAACTTTTGATTTCTAACCACGATTTCTTTTGACGGATGCTAATCAATGGCTAAAATGACATTTCCCACAAAATTTGAAGTATAATTAGTGGAAAAGTTAAAAGTTTGTTTACTTTTTCTACTAATTGAAAATGACTACCACTAATTTAGACGTTCTGAATGCTTACATTGAAATTAAAAGAACAAACTTCTACGCTAATTGAAACCACTAATTTATTCCACTAATTCGGAGGTTCTAAATGAAGCTTAAGGCAAAGCTTAAGGGCTCATTCTGTCCTGTTTACTAAAAATGCCTACCTATATCGAGATATTTGAAAGTTTTTTTAAATTAATTTATTGCAAACGCTGGAGAGAGGGGGCGCTATTATCAATTTTTTGCCCCGGTTCAAAAAAATTGTAGATCCGGGGCTGGTAAACTGCAAACATACGAGAATCTTTTAAAAATCAAATATATTTCGTAGATAAGTAAATACACTGCTTCACCCCCGTCCAATAATTCTTGGTCTTCGGAATATTTAAATGGCTTAAAATTATTATGTTTCTTCAAATTCGCCAAGCAGTGGTACGATATTTTTTGACTATTTCTCTAAATATTCTGGTACTTGGTTTTCATTTTCATTTATTATTTCTCCATGATCCTCATCAATATTCTTTTTATATTTTTTACAATTTTTAATAACTATTCGTGTTGGAATTCGTCTCTTACATTTATAATCTTCAATATCTGGTCTGGCATATTTGGAAAATGTACCGAAAATAAATACTTTACAGCTTGTAAAATTTTTCCTCCATAATACTACTAAACTATTTTTTTTTTCTTTAGTTGTGTTAGTCATGTGGTATGTTTGATACTTTAGCTTTAGTCATTTTTAAAATTTACAGGGATTTCCTATGTCTAGGTTGGCGGTACAACAGATTGTACTTAATTACTTATACGGCAGCATTCAAATGTACTTCGACCTTAAACATTATTACTTACTTATAGTAACATTACATTTCCCTTGCGAATCAATGGGTAATAGTAATACTTTTCCATTAAAGTGATAATCAGTCTCTATTCTAATCACCGGCGTAGTAACAAGCAAAGACCAATAACATTTATCTAAATCCACTCTAAAATCAAATTAAGCCTAACAATATTTTATATAAAAGTAATATAAACTCACTAGACATCTCTAAGAAAGCATTAGATAAACATTTGAGTTAAAGTTTATTGACGAGTTGACACCTTATCAGAATAGACTAGTAGAAAAAGATAGATATTTTAATAATTTTATTACTGAAATCATTCACCACACATTTGAAATTCAAAATAAGTAAAGCATTATTTTTACTTTTAAATTTTTTTCTTGCGGTAGAATTACAAGATATACAAGATTACAATGAATTCGTTTTATAAATATGCATGAAACTTTTATTTCTTGTGATGCTACATATATGGTTCTGTCTAAGGAAATATTTGATGATTTCGACAGACGGCATTGAAAAATTGCCAGAAAAAGACTTTTGAATTAAAATGATCGGAACCAATGTCACTGTCTACTAAACTATTTTACTCTCGGTATGCCTAGAAACTAAATTATTCTAAATTGTTAAAAAAATTCTTTATAATTTTTTTTCATTTTTCGTCGTTCAGATTTAAGGTTGAAAAAGTTGATAAAGAAGAGGACCACGAGAAAATGGGTAACACCAGAAAAGCCAGAAGAATATAGAGCAATGGCAGCTGAAAATTTAGGAAATCTAGAAAGAATGGAAAATATGGAGATTGAAGATATAAATAATAACATTGTAACTATTTTAACGCAAAGCTATTAAAGAAAATTGCCCTAAAAAGATAATCAGGGAAACACAAAACTAACCCAAAACACTAAAGATCTGATAAAACAGCGTAGAGTTATGGCAAACAAACACTCAGATGATTATAGGAAACTTAACAGAAAGATGTCAAATGAGATAAGGAAAGACATCAGAATCCACAATACCAACAAAATAACGCAACTCATTGAGAGAAATCAAGGATTAAAAGTTTTCAAAAAAGAGGCAAGCATAGAGAGAACACTAATTCATAAATTGCATAAGGACAGATAACATCAAATAGAGCAGATATTCTGCGTGTTACGGAAAATTTCTACTAGCAGTTATATGACCTAACCCCAAACCCTAGAAACTCGTATTACCATACCAACTGTGATGAATCAAGGCTCAGAAGAAATCCCAGATATTATTTTAGATGAAATATCGGCGGCATTAAATTTTATGAAAAATAATAGGTCTCCCGGTGACGACAATATAGCTATTGAAGCCATTAAAGATGGAGGAGAAAAGGTTCTCAAGGCTTTGCAAATATTATTCAACAAATTTTTTGTCGAAGGAAGAACGCCATCAGAATGGGATAATACCATAATACCAATATAATCTTATTACATAAAAAAAGGGGACAAAACAAACCTTACCAACCAGCGGCCTATTAGTTTACTGAGCCACACGTACAAATTATTCACAAAAATCCTCACAAATCGTCTCTCCCTAAAACTAGAACAATATCAACCAAAAGAACAGGCTGGATTTAGATCGAACTTCGGTACAAATGACCATCTATTGGTGGTGAAGTCCCTAATAAAAAAATGTGTTGAGTATAATAAACCCCTCATTTTAATATTTGTCGACTACGAAAAGGCATTCGACTCTATCGATCAACACAAATTATTCAAGGCCCCAGCCGAATGTCGTATAGACACCCGTTATACTAACCTTTTAAAATATATATACGACCATGCAACAGCATCTGTAACATGAAAACACAAATAAATTCCGTATTAAAAGAGAAGTACAGCAAGGCGATACCATTTCCTCCAAATTGTTCATAGCACTATTAGAATATATATGTTCAAAAGACTAAACTGGGAGGAAATGGGCATTAATGTTAACGGGGAATAACCTGCGTTTTGCTGATGACTTGGTGCTGATTACAGACAAAATACACGAATAGGAAGAATACAAAGAACACAAAGAAGAATAGGACTAACATGGGCAGCATTCGACAAACTAAGATATGTGTTAAAATCAGATCTACCAATGTGCTTAAAGAGGAAGGTGTTCCATCAGTGCGTTATGCCAGTACTTACATATGGCGCAGAGACACTTACACTGACGAAAAAGTCTATAGAAAAAATCCGTTTAGCCCAACGAGCTATGGAAAGATCAATGCTTGGTGTATCTCTAAGAGACAAGATACCCAGTACAGTTATAAAACAGCGTACACGAATAACAGATGCTATATATCTGCTTAAAAAACTGAAATGGAACTGGGCTGGGCATATTGCCAGAAGAACGGATGATAGATCGACCAAGCTAATACTAGAATGGCGGCCAAGACAGGATGCTCTCAGAAACAGAGGCAGACCTCCGACGAGATGGTCCGATGACTTAACGAGATTTAGGGGAAACTGGATCCAAGTGGCACAGGACCGAGAAGAGTGGAAAGATTTGAGGGAGCCCTACGTCCAGCAGTGGACACTTCAGACTGGGTGATGATGATGATGATGTTAAAAAATTGTTAAAAGAAATTGTTTCAAAAAAATTGTTAAAATTTCTAACTTTCTAAAATATTTACGTTCTGTCCTTTTATAATCCTTTTATAACGATTACGATTACCTTGATTCATCGATGTAAGAAGTAGATATACCATAAGTATACATATTGTAATAACTTTGGTTCAAAGCTATTGACTGACCAGGTGAGCCAGATATATCAACTTTCGGTACATAAAAGGGATCTAGCTTAGGTATTCCTAATTGTTGCGATCCTGAAATAGTAAGATAATAAAATATATTTTTATAAATAGAAGCGGAAAAGTGTTAGATGATTAATATTAAGTTATTTATTAATATACTAGCCAAAACGAGTTAGAGATCACTTTGATAAATTTGATTAAACAAAAACAAATACATAATAATACTTAATATTAATCAATACTTTCAAACATAAACTTAGCAATATGTTTCTTAAAGTTTGAATATAATGTATGAAGTAGAAGTAATGTATGGTGTAGAAGTTTGGACCCTCAACGCATACTGCGAGCAAAGACTAAAGGCCTTCGAGATGTGGACCTACTGTAGTATCCTGAGAATAACATGGATAATGTAGAGGTTCTGGGGAGAATGGAGAAGCTCATATCCAGGGCAAAATTTTAAGAAAAAGGTCTATTGGAAGGAGAACTGAATCTGAACTGAAATCTGACTTATTTAGGGCCGGAGCTTCCAAAGTTAGGATAGCTATGATGATAGCCAACCTTCGAAATGGAGATGGTACATGAAGAAGAAGATATGATGAAGAAGTCGTATCCAACCTTGCAGGGAGGGACCGTGTGCACCAGGGGCGGATCCAGGGGGGGTAGATCCAGATTTAATCAAAGTACATACTCCCGAGTCGTTTGTGACCAAATAAATTAATAATATCCTATTACTTGGCTAAACTCAACGGGAAGGCTTGAGCCTCCGAAGCCCTCCCTCGCCCCTGGACCCGCCACTGGTGTGCACCTACCCACAAATTTGGTCGCAATCGGACGACATCAACTTTTGACGTTTCTTACTTCAAAAGTAACTGTTACAGTGACACGTGTCGCACAAGGTCAAGTTGGCCTTGGTCCAATCTACCAACATACCCAATTTCATTTAAATCGGTCGATTTTTTCGCCATTATGATGGAATTTCATAGTGCACGAAACGTCGCCAAAATATCATGAAAAGATGTCACGATCACTATGTCGCACTTTTACCCTCAACATTTCATTCGAATCGCTAAAAGCATTTGGAAGAAAATAAAAATTAATCGAAAAAAAAAACTAAGATGAAAGCTAGGAAAAAGCTACTACCCCTTGCAGCTACGAAACACAAAAAATCTTATTTTTACGTGAGGAATCTCCCCACGACAGATGGCACATGTTTTTTGAAATACCCTGTATATTTGCACCTTTGTATTTCTGTTGAAATATTTTCAGTAGGAATCGTTAATTTCAATTTTAAAATAAAGTATAAATAAAATTAAAGTGGTAGCTCTTGCCATACGTTATATTGTATATTCATTAAGTTTTCATCGGATTAGTATATTTTATATTTTTATATTATTAAAATGTATATTATTTAACTATGTCTTGCAATATGTTTTGACGAGGGGCAAACCGCTGCCAAAAACGGTGTACAATAAATAATACCAATTTTTGTTTACAAAAAGTACCAAAAATACCAAATTATTTCCAAAAAAATACCAAATTAGAACCAAAAATACCAAATTAGTATTACTCTTTTTGGTATCTAAAGAATTTAAGATATTTGAAGCTTTAGGGCCTATTCATGTCAAACTACGATAATTAGGTCAGAAAAACATATAAGCTTTAATTCGAGTTCCAAAAAAGTACGGTTGTAGAACTGTTTAAAACAATCACACAGTCTAATTACGATCATGTGCCAGTGTTTTGAGCCGTTCTAGGACCGTACTTTTTGAGAACTCGAATAAAGATACTGTCATGACACGTTTAAAAAGTCATTTTAACGGTTCCATTAATATCAATACTTCAAAAATTTATAAAATAAAAACTAAAATTGAATTTTTTTTATTTGCGTTATTTGTTACTTATAAGCTCAAAAATATATAATTATATACACAAGAAAAATAAGAAATTCTAACGAGATCCATATTATGTTTCCATGATGCCTGTTCTTTAATTTCTCGACATTTTTTCGCTGACGTTATGTACCGTTGGAATGACGTTATGTACCGTTTTTGCGTAAACCATTTTTATGCATTGAAAAATAGCAAGCTTGGCAATTAATATCGGGTAAAAATAACCTATTTTTCAAATAGGCCAACAACCTAACCTCGAAACACAAGTAATTATTCTTATGTCAAGCCTATTATTCGAAAATGGTGGTACATTATCTTCCGTGATTCGACATACATTTTTCTAAGGCTGCGTCGTACCATAGGAGACAATGCCAATACGTTCCCGGCCGTCGCCACGTGCCAGAGTGGTTCCCAGAGGTCAGGTCATTACTTAGAAATATTAATTTCAAAATGTTTGCATGAAACAGTTGCTAATACTTTTCTTAGATTCCTCTGTAAACGATACATAATAAATAACAAAATCAAGTAAGCCTAGTGTAGCGCTTTTTTTTATTAGAAATCTTACATTTTTGCTACTGGTATTAAGCTGACATGAACAGTTTTCAGATAACGCCAATTAATTACTTATTTTATTAAAATTGATAAAAGCTGTTGCCTTTTCTGTAATGGACGTACGAAAAGAAGGTAAAAAGAACTGTTTTTTCTTTTTTGTACTTAATTAAACCTAAGTAATATTAGTTTATGGCAATTTATTTGAAGGCAACAAAAATAGTATTTTTACATTTTTGCTTGTCACTCTTTAAAACTTTTAACTACTTTCCCTTTCAAATCCTCTTAAACGGCATGATAATACTTGTTGCTTAAAGTATATTGCATATAAATTAATTGCCACTGGCTGCAGCGAATTGCAGCCGGATCTTATATCGGGTGGTTATATCGGGTGGTTATTTGACTTTTTGTCTTAAAATAAAAGCAACTTCTTTTTTTCTCTTTGTGTCAACTTATTTCGTGGACACACTGTATATCAATTGACAATAAAATTGTATTTATAAAAGGAAACAACTGACTCTTTTATTTTTTCAACATTTAAAATAAATTTGACCTCTTCAATATGAAAAAACATGTACATATGTGCCATCTGTATACCTTTCCGAATAGTTAGAACTTAAAATGCAAATCACACAAACTGGGCCCAATTTTTTTAATACATATTACATTAAGTTTTTTATATACATTTATTTAGCATTTGTTATCAATTTCTATTAAAAAAAGTGCAGTCAAGTTATATCTAGATATCTAACAGTTATGGCCGCGCAGCTAATTAAGGGGAACCACTGTGCATGCGTCTAATCAAGGTCTAATCCACATCCACCGTTGCCAGATGACCAACAAAATACTTGTTTAATACCAGTTTAATACCAAATAAAACCAGTTTATTACCAAATAATACCAGTTTATTACCAAATAATACCAAATTAATACCAAAAATACCAAATTAGTACCAAAAAAATACCAGTATTAGCAAGTGTATACAATAAATACCACCGGAGGTTTGACCCTCGTGTTTTGATCTTGTTATGACGAGTAGTCATTTTTTTTTAATAAATTATATATTATCTTATAAACGATTTCCCTTAATAAAGTAATTAAATTATACTTACCACTTTTAAAAATTTTAAAACACTTAGTTATTTGTTCTTTATAACACTCACTAAGATTTTCATCTCGTTGGCAAAATTCGACTTCGGGTGCTACAAATTTAATAGATACGATATATACAATATTTTCCAAAAATTAAACTAAAACTTACGGAAAAATACAACTGCACTTGCTTGATAAAAAATAAGAGTACATATTAATATAACTATATTTTCCATTTCAGAGTTGAATACTTCTTTAAAAAAAACTAATGTGAAATAAAATGGCAGACTGTTTTGAATATAATATTAGTCGTTATATATAATCTACTTAATTAACTTATTGTGTTTAATTACTGCAAATATTGTTATCGATATTATTTTGGTTTATTCTGTGCGAGGAAAAAAACAAAAACACAAAGTTTGCATGTTTCTATAAAATTTAAAATGCATTTTATTAAATTACATTACAATTTTGAAACAATAAATGTATTTAAATTAGCAGTATTCGCGTACAACAAACATTATTTGATCTAATTTGAACACCAACAGAGTGATTATAAAATTAATTACACGAACCGACTAAAAACGGACATAATATGACATTATACACGCAGCAACGTGGTCTTTATTTATATACATTTGGTGGAGAATAAAAGTAAAAAATCACAAAATATTCCGTAGATATCTGTTTAAGCTCTGTTTGTTTTCTAGATTCAAAACGGGACGCCTTAAATAAAATGGGTGTTAATACAAAAATACGATATGAAAGAATTTTCAAGCCCAAGATAGGGATAGATGTTTTGAGTATAACGAATTGGAGATTGTACAAACATAGTATGCATGTAGCCTAATGTATATGAAGAGTATAGAGTATAGGAATAAAATAAGGAATTTCCAATATTGTTAAAACCGAGATTACTAGGACAAATATATACAATTTAACGCTAACAATTTTCTGCATTGGAATAAAATCTCCAGCAGTGGCGGCCCATGACCCGTGTGACTGGGTAGGCGACAAAATTTTAGTTGCGTCTATTTGCTCCCTATGTTACCACATATTATACAGATTATAATCCTTGTTTTTTCTTTATTGTTTTTCGTGGTTCCAATTTTCGGAATCGGGCACTAGTTAGGTTACTAGTTAGGTTACTAGGCAACATAGCACGCCCACTTATGGCCTCTAAAATTGTGCACAGCGCCTGACCGGCACAGTTATTAGAGAGATATCGGAAAACCGAATAGCGTCATCCACTATTTACGCGTACCTTATCATGGTTACGATATGCGCGAGTCAATTTTTAACGCAACACCCGCTAATAACGTTACCGCCTGACGGAATTTGCGGATCAATTACTAAGATCAATTACACCAAGCGCTCTTGACGTTGAACAATAAAGCACTGGAAATAAGCACTTTATCCCTTTAGTTTTAAAATACCTAGTAAACAAAACAATTTCAAAGTTAGGTTAAGTTTAAATAGCGGACGCGACGCGATCAGAATTCTTTCCGATCCGATAACTATAAATGAAGGGAGTTAATACCACCTCACGTAAAGGAAATAACACCTGGCCTTATTAACGTCCATGCACGCTATTCGGTTTAGCGATATCTCTCTATTACGCTGTTTATTGTTATTTTACGCGAGTTTATTTTTGCGCACAGGACTCGTTTGCACATCATCATAAAAAACACATTTTGTACCACGAATTAGGGAAAAGATTTTTATCTATATACTTATAGGATACCTAATCTGTGATGTTACAGTACGTCTGCTGGATCTGTGTCTATGAAAGGAATGCGGATAAAAAATATTTAAATAAACAGCAATATATTTTATACGTCAATTTGACATTGTCATTTTTGTTTTTTTAAAAATGAAAAATAATTAAAAATAAACGCATTTTTTGAATAAAACGTTTACAGGAATTTCTCTAACAATAAATTTCATAGACTTGGTTATCAAACTGTGTTCCCGTAGATTACTTAAATCTTAAATACCTATAAATTTTCTAAAAAAATAAAAATTAACACATTTTTTGAACACAACAAAATTGCTGATTTGCATCACAACCAAATAAAAATTAATACGTAGCCAAGAGTCATAATTCAGGATTTCTCTGGGGGTGCCCAGCAGTACCTAGGGGGGGCCCGGCACCCGCGGGCACCCCTGTAGTTACGCCAATGTTTCTGTGGCGTGTTCTGAAATTCAACAGGTTATATCATTTTTAGCAGTCTCGGACAAGCCCGAAAAATGTTTCCAATTTGCTTTAAACGTTTTTTGAATTTTCATATAAAAGTTTTAAATGCTACGTATAATGAATCATATGAAATATCCCCTTAACGACATGTGATATATCCCCTTATGAAATATCGGGAATATCCCCTGAAAGCTTGATTTTCATGCATCCGTTGTCCGACGATACGTTGATACGATATTAATTTTTATTGGTTGTATTTAAAGGCTTCGATTGGTTAATCGTTTCTAACCAATCGAACCCTTTAAATACAACCAATGAAATTAATATCGTATCAACGTATCGTCGGACAACGGATGTATGAAAATCAAGCTTAAGCCTATCGGAGCCTCCACGACTTCATGCAAAGGCGACCGGAGATTTCGCCTAAGCCCCGCTTTAATACGATACAACTCCGACTTACGTCGCGTGGCTACTGCACGATGAGTTAGATAGAGACAGAAGATTGCCGTACGTCGTACATCGACTCTGATAGTAGGCGACGTAGAAATCGAAACTAAACCAAAACAAAGGCACTCCAACGGTCAAAATTATTTTGTTTTCTAACGCAGCGGCACAGTCATTATTTGCAACATTAATAGTAAATAATGTAATGTAATAAACCGCTTAAATCCTGCCAAAATCTTACTACCCTACCCTGACGAGCCCGCCACTGATCTCCAGTCCATACTTATAACTCAAATTATTTTTTTAAGTTCCTTGTTTTATGCCTTCATATAAACCTACCCTTCATATAAATTATTTGTAAGGGCATTTTCAACCTCGCAAAAATCGTAAAAAATAAAGAAAAAAGGAAAGAAATTATTGATCCATGGTATAATCGAAAATATAATCTTAAAATAACAAAAGAATCATATGAATTTGATATACTAAACTTCTAATCAAATTCCCCAAAAAAATTATTTATTGTTAAATAAGATTCATCTTGCATGCATATCGAATCTTAATATTAATATTAAATACTGAAATAAAAAAATTCCCTTTAAATTTTATATTGATAAAATTGAATTCGGCCTCGTTGATGAGATAAAGACATTTTTATTAATCAAAATTAATAAAATTAAATAAAAATTAATAAATTATATATTTTACCTAATTTATTATTAAATATTATTTCTATTAGTTATTATTATTGCTAGTTCAACCTACAGCAATTTCAAATAAAAAAATAATGGTATTTAAGATAATTACAAAAAAACTAATTTTATAAAGTTTTAACATCCTGTAACTCTAAAACTATGCATTTCCATACCCATGTTCATAGGAACATTTTTTCGTAATTTATGATGAAGAATCAACGAGTACTTATTTAAAACTTTCGCAAGTTAATTTTATTAAAAATTTTTAAAGGACTTTAATTAGACTTGGATCAAGGCAAATCAATAAAATTGCGTTTATCTCATCAAGGAGGCCGAAATCGACAAAATATCAAGAGACAACTTTTAATCGGCATTAAACTTCTTACACTACTTCGCTAACAGGAGAAAGAAAAGTCAGTGGCGTACATGTTTTTTTGATAACCCATATGTACGTCCCTGGTAAATATGTCGACACTTTTTTAGCTTTAAAATATGTCGCATTTATAATTTATAGTAACTATCACCAAAATTTCATTCAAAACGCTAAAAGTACTTGGAAGAAAATTATAATAAATCGAAAAAATATTAAGACTTTAACACCCTGTAGCTACGAAATAAAGCAGAATCAGACATATGTTGATATGAAAAATAAATCTTATTTTTACGTGAGGAATCTCCCCAAGAGAGATGGCACATATTTTTTGAAACACCCTGTAGGTGTGAGAATCAATAAATTGATATATGTATGTATAAAATCAACAAATCAAAAAAAAATAAACATATGTTAAATATAAAAAAAAATAATAAAAAACATACATTACCTATGTATGTATAAATAGGTACTTAATTGAAATGGCGTTCGCAGGTTTAGAACCAGGAATTAATCTTTTTTTATTTGAGTTGTGTGGATTTGTCGGATTTTGAAATTAAACTACACATAACACATAATCTCATTATAACATAATTCAAAACCAAATATCAGCAAACTGACATTTTGACTTATTACTTAAGTTTTTTAATTTTTTTCTTAAACTTGACTTTTTTACTAGAACCCTTAACTTCTATTGCTTTACTCTTTGGTGGGAAACTAGTTATAATCTCAATAGAATCATCATCACTAGAAATACATATGACTTCGGAATTATCAAAATAGTCCAATTTTACATTATTTCTTGCTTTAAAATTACTTACACTACAAGTCAGACTATTTTTACTATCAAATAAATCAGAGTCTTTAGTAGCAATACTAGACCCATGCTGTAATACTGCACTATTAAAAGGTTCTCTTGATTTGTCTGTTCTTATTGTATTTGTCTTCATTGGCACATCAGTACCACTAAAATTTACATTTTTTATACTTAATCTTTCTGCACTTTTCACAAATTTAATCTTATTATCTAAAACAAGTTTCCGTTCTTCACTATAATTCACTTTTGGCCTAACTTTGCGATGTGTCGGGGAAATTCTAAAGTCAGCTTTGTTCCTTTCTGTCCTTTCTTTAATGTGTTGCGACTTAAAAGTATCTACTGATTTATCAATTCTAAAATTCATTAAAGCTTTAATTACATAACTTAAATTCAATATCAGTCTCTACTTATGACAAAATTACATTCCTCTATTCTAAGGACTTGTTATACCTAGTTGTATTTATATTTATACTAACCTTGTGTTGGTGGATACCAAACTGTTAACAGTGCGTTGAAAGAAATTTATATTTGGTTTAATTCTAGTAACCTCTGTTGGAAGTTTACCTTCTCTACTTTTGCTATCTTTCAGAAGTGCTTTTATAACCTCCCTAAAATTATCGAAGGGATAAAAAATAAAATAAAGAAACAGATAAGATTTACTCACTCGTCAGATATTAACAATTTGTAATGGTCCGACATTTTAACGATATTAATAGCACGAATTTAAATATTATACTTCCAAAAAATCCATACAAATAATAAACAAACTTGTTGACACCTAAACAGCTGATAACCAAATCCCACCAAATCCGAAGCCAAAGATAAATAAACATATTTTATTTATTTGACATTTTTTTAGGGATGGAGAATGTTGGATTGGAGCAATGGTTAGGTCAAAGAGTAGATAAAGATTTTAGAATGTTATAAAATTTATTATTATATTAAATAAAAATAAATTAGTAATTCCCAAATCCTGTAACTTCTAACCTGTGCTTCTAACTTTAAGATTATAACATAATTTATCAAGAATTATTTCAATTTCAGTTAAAAATCGATATAATGTAATGATAATTATGCAACTCAAAATACAAGAATGAAATGTCATTTATTTTGTAATTTTGGACTTTTATTCAGACTTATTAGTGATGGGTAACATTTTCTAGAGCGGTATTTTTGATCTACTCCAAGATTTTAAGCATGCAGGTAAAACTATAATTTTGAATTACCAAATATTAATTCAATGAGTAAAGACTTATGGGTATTAACGACCTATGATTGAAGATCTGTGCTTCATCTATTACACAGATCTACATTTCATATCCTAGTATTTCAAAATACAGTATAAGAAATGTTATGATCGAAAAAAACGCCGTTAGCGATGGCTATGAAATGAAGATCGCTGTCATTTTATATGTAAAATTATGTGGGGAATGTTATCGATCGTTATTTCCAAGTCAACTGGACGCCGGTGTTTTGATCATACGTTATATTCAAAGAAATAAAATAGTATTAATAATACAGTTTAATATATGTTTATTATAAAATATGTGAAAAACTTTTAAATTACGAAAATTAGAGCTTAATTTAACACAGAGCTTAGTAGTATACTTGTTTATATATTCTTAGTAGTATCCATAGACAAACTAACAAAAGCAAGACTTTTCAAACGATTGAGGAAGTCGAATTATTGTGTTTGCGCTGGCCAGTTGAGTCAGAATTCATCGCGCAGTCGCACTCGCCAAACCTAACCTAAATAAAACGAAAAACGTTTTTGCCTTGAACGAACTGTTGAATTCCTGATTTTCCGTTTTGATTGGTTATTACTATTATTTTATTAGCGTACAAAACGAAAACAAGTAATGTAATACATTTTACACTTATGAAGAGCATAATAATTACTGTGTTATACATATTATTGTGATTACATCGCTAACGTACACAAACCGAAGGTCCTACAAATTGACTGTAAGTTATAAGAATCTTTATCTTTTAAATCTTTTTATGATTTGAATTTTCGTGCTTTATATTTTATAATAGACTCTAAATGTTAATATTTTTTAAATTCTTGTGGAAATGTGAAGTTTATGTTATTTCAAATATAACATATATGTATTATTTCAATAAACATTATATTTTATTAAAAATATTATTTTTAAGGTGACTTAAAATTTAAAATGATAGAAAACTTGAGACATAGACAGTTGTTTTACGATATTATTTTAATTTTAGTTAACCAATTTGTAAGGCTGAAAATGATTTAAACTAAAGCTGGATTTTAGAGTTCAGTAATTAATTAGTAAATTAAATAATTAGTTTTACGCAATAAGACTAACTCAACCTGAATTAGAGTTGCAAAACTCTTAAATCTCGAGACATGTTTAACAAAATTTTATTTAATTATTATTATAGTAGAGTACTAAAACACATTTTTAGTTTATTAATTCTGTTATACAATTCTGTAATATCAATACCTAGTTAATTTTAATAAAGTTTGCACCTAATTTTATTTTCAGATTCATGTTAACAGATGCGACCTAGGCGGTCAGTATTGGCGTCGTCTCTTTGCAAAACAACACTTCTGGGAAATTTCTGATACGAAATAACATCCCTAGACCTTTTCCTTTGGGGCTAAATCACAAATAGATAAGCCTCAGTAAAAATAGCTCCCCTAAAGATATTTGGAGAGCTCCCCTAAAGAATATATTTGATTTGTTATTCGACAGATACCTAGAAGGTGAGTGGCAAAATATTTGAACTGAACTAGTGTAACTAACTCATGGCGATCATTCGGTTGACATGGTAATGCACAAAACGGTCGGGTTAAATTGTAATAAAAATACAGTTCTTCAAAGAAAACTATCTTAGATTTGACGGCTCAATTTTCGTTTAGCCGAAATCTCTTATATACATATATAAGGCGTTCAAATATACAAAAAATTTCCTGCGGAAATGTGTCATTTTCATTTTTCGGACTTTAGTATAGGCGAAATCTGTTACATCAAAACTAGTCTTCGGGATGTGTGGATGTGTTTTAGACATTTTTCTAAACATAAAAACGCAAAAAAGTGTCTGCGGAAATTTTTTATTTTTATTTTACATAAAAAAATGCTTTGACTTTAGAATAGCCGAAATCAGTTACATGAAAAATTAATTTATATTTTGTTTTATACGAGTCTTTACGAGCATAGAAATACAAAAAAAGTCCTGCGGAAATGTGTCAATGTCATTTTGTACTTTTGTACATTTTGTAATTATTTATTTATTTATTTATTTATTTATTTATTTATTTATTTATTTATTTATTTATTTATTTATTTATTTATTTATTTATTTATTTATTTATTTATTTATTTATTTATTTATTTATTTATTTATTTATTTATTTATTTATTTATTTATTTATTTATTTATTTATTTATTTATTTATTTATTCCATTCTATCTATTTATCTATCTTACTCCATTTACTCTATTCCATTTAATCCATCTATCCATTTCCATCTACTCCATCTTCCATCTATTTACTCCATTCCATTTACTCCATTTCCATTCCATCCATTCCATTTATCTATTTACTTCCATTTATTTACCATTTACTTCCCATTTATTTATTTATTTCCATTTATTTCCATTTCATTTATTTACTTTATTTATTTATTTATTTCCATTTCATCCCATTTATTTTATTTATTTATTTTATTTTATTTATTTATTTATTTATTTCCATTTATTTCCATTTATTTCCATTTATTTATTTCATTTATTTCCATTTTATTTATTTTATTTATTTATTTATCCATTCCATTTATTTATTTATCCATTTATTTATTTATTTATTTATTTATTTATTTATTTATTTATTTATTTATTTATTTATTTATTTATTTATTTATTTTATTTATTTATTTATTTATTTATTTATTTATTTATTTATTTATTTATTTTATTTATTTATTTATTTATTTATTTATTTATTTATTTTATTTATTTATTTATTTATTTATTTATTTATTTATTTATTTATTTATTTATTTATTTATTTATTTATTTATTTATTTATTTATTTATTTATTTATTTATTTATTTATTTATTTATTTATTTATTTATTTATTTATTTATTTATTTATTTATTCTACACTTCTATGGCTTACGCCAATTACAGAGTGGGTTACACACAAAAAATCAATACAAAATAATTAAATTAAACAAAAATAATATCAATGAGAAAAATACATATCAATGAAAAAACAACAACAATATAAAACCAAGAAAAACCACTAAACTGAACTCACAACCGAAACCAAACTGCAGCTGAAAATATCAAAATTACACTGATATAAATTATATGCATCCTGCATACGTTTCAATGGCGAATATTTACTTACATTTGTGCGCGAGGAGGCCACATAAAATGTAAAGCTATACCGAGAGCTACGTGGGACCAGAAAATTGATTTGACTGAGAACATCCGGACTATCAATTTCATTATGTAATAACTTGTATAAAAATTTCAGCTCTGAATTTGTCCGTCGAACCTCCAAGGAATCTAGAGAATGTTTCTGCAATAAAGAGCTGTGACAGCAGCCAATTTGCGGGTAAACCCCATCAGTTCTTAAACTCAGATATTTCAGAAAACGACGCTGTACCTGCTCGAGAGCATTAATATGTGCCGCATAAAACGGCGACCATACAATTGATGCATACTCTAGCTTTGATCTTACAAAAGCATAATAGAGTAGTTTTAATGTGTTACTATTGCTAAAATCTCTAGTATTACGCACAATAAATCCCAAGGCCTTAAACGAAGATTGAACGACTTCAGATATATGCTGAACGAAAGATAGTTTACTGTCAAATGTGACACCCAAATCTTTAAAAACAGATACTCTACCTATCATCGTATCACCGATAGAATAATTATAAATTTGTGTTTCCGATTTCAAGGTATAAGACATGACTTTACATTTTTCAACGTTCAATGGTAAGTTATTATATGAACACCATGCAACTAATCGATCAACACACCTCTGAAGCCGTTCACAGTCATGAGGCGAATCAATGCGGGAAAATATCTTCATGTCGTCTGCAGACAGTAAGACACTTAAATCAATTATATCAGTGACACCGTTTATAAAAATGTTAAACAATAACGGTCCCAAAATAGACCCCTGGGGTACACCCGAAGTAGCGCACAGTTCGACCGAATTCTGGCCACAATACTCCACCCTTAACAATCTGTTTTTTAAATAGGACTCAAACAACATTAATAAGTTAGCTGAAAACCCAATCCGATCCAGATGGAAAAGAAGGATCCCATGGTCAAGTCGGTCAAACGCTTTAGAAAAATCAGTATACACAGCGTCGACCTGACTCTTTGTATCAATAGAGTCAGCAATAAATTGTGTAATACTTAAAAGATTAGTTGTCGTCGACCGACCCCTTATAAAACCATGCTGATTTGGTGAAATTCTACCTCCCACCTGGAACGCCAATGTGCCATAGAGAGCCATTTCTAAACATTTGGAAAAATTAGAAATTATTGTTACAGGTCTATAATTTTCAATATTATTTCTATCGTTCTTTTTAAATACTGGGATGATCTTTGAGGTTTTCCAGATAACAGGAAACGTATTTATCTTCAGGCACAGATTAAATAATTTCGTTAGTGGGGAGGAAAAAACTATTGCGCAATCTTTCAACAGAAATGAGGGTACTTTATCGGGTCCTACCACTCCGGTGGGCTTCACTTTGTTTTTCATACATTTTTCAGTTTAGAAGCTTACGGGACCCGGGAGCGAATAGGGGTGCTGGGTGGGGTAAAACATCTTTCGGAGTCGAATAACCAATTCTTGTAGAATAGATAATATAATAAGGCGAATATATTTTTGTATAAACTGCCTACTTTTTAAAAAATGGTGTGCATGTTATAGCGATTGTAGCGATATTAAGCTGATAAGAATAGATATTATTTATTGATCTGTGTTGAAGGTCGGGAAGAGGATCACTATTCGTTCTAAAACATGAAAAAGGCAAACTTCCGTAGACTTTTTTGTGATGACAACAAGGTCTGAATACTGTATGTCTAAAATTCAGAACCACTAGCGTAAATGTAACTGATTTCGGCTATTCTAAAGTCAGAACATTTTTTATAGAAAATGAAAATAAAAAGTTTCTGCACAATTTTTTTTGTGTTTTTATAATACCGTATGATCGAGAAAAAATGGCGTCAGCGATGGCTATGAAATGAAGATCGCTGTCATTTTATATGTAAATTTATATGGGAAATGTCATAGATCGTCATTTCCCAGCCAACTGGACGCCGTTTTTTTCGATCATACGGTATTTAATACAAACATTGATATAAACGTAACAGATTTCGGCTATTCTAAAGTCAGAGCATTTTTTATATAAAATGAAAATCAAAAATTTCCGCAAACAATTTTTTGTATTCTTATGTCCAGAAAAATGACTAAAACACATCCCAGAAGCTAGTTTTAGTGTAACAGATTTCGGCTATTCTAAAGTCCGGAAAATGAAAATGACGCATTTCCGCAGGAAAATTTTTGTATATTTGTACTCCTAATGCCTTCTAGAACGCATATAATATAAAGTCATTTTTTATATAACATATTTCGGCTAAACGAAAGTTCACCCGATTTGACAACCGATTGACAGCGATCTTCATTTGATTCTGATTTTTTTTTCGATCATATTGTACGATACTATCGTATCGTAAAAAAACGGCACCAGGGATGGTTTGAAAATGAAGATCCGCCGTCATTTATATTTAAACGTCAAATTTAGTGATTACCGTCAGAGCTGCAAGAAGTCAGTTTTAAAGAGACTTAAGTCTTAAGTCATTTCGAAACGCATTTCTTAAGTCAAATTCAACATAGAGTTCAAACGATTTAAGTCCCAACTCTTTGACGTAAATCATTAATTAATAAAATCAGTAAGTAGTTAGTAATTACTGCTTGGTTGCAGGCTATTATTTAAAAAAAAATGCTGCTGTTAAAAAATTATTATAAAAATATACAGGGTCGCTTTCATGTATGGAAACGGTCGATTATTAGGTAAAATATAGGAGGTACCGCAAAAAGTTAAATACAAAAGTTATAGGATTTTTAAATATCTATTAGCGAGTAATAAATTTAAGTATACAGGGTCGTTAATAAAGTCGTGGCACATCAAAGTTTCATTTTTTTAAATAGAAACCCATGTATATTATTACATATTTCAATTCTTCCTTCAATTCTAAGCAAAAATCGAAATGCACACAATGTACATCAAAGCAACATTTTCCGAATTATACTTTTGAAAATGTCACTTACAATAAACAATTCGATTTAATTAATTTCGATGTGTTTGGTTTGATTTAATGATGTCATTCTGCCGAAACTGTGATACTGTTGTTATGGGTTTTTAAATTCCTATTGGCTACTATATGTACCTTGTATATGACAAGGCTACTAGCAAATTTAAGTATACAGGGTATACTTAAATTTGGTAGTATCCTTGTAGTATTGTTTGAATGTCATATATAATATTGGCCGAAGCTGATATTACCAAAGTGATATTTTAATTTCTGATTCATCTATACTAAAGGTTTAAAAGGTTTTGCTTCTTTGCTTGTCATTGGCATGTTTGATGTTATTTAATTGGGCCACATAAGATTCCTTAATAATAAAAAGCTCCAAAATCATTTCTTAATATCAATAATTATATTACAACATATTTTATCAGTTGATTTCCTAGATTGTCTTATATAATAACTGATTCTTTTCTATATTAACTTATTATTTACACATCAGGTCTTTTGGTTTATCAGTTCAATGAGAAGTCATTTTCACTGAAGAAATATTTCCTATTATTAGGTCACAGTCTACTATTCTCGGTGTTGTTTCGTTTGCTGTTCCTCACCAAAGACGTTATGGTAGGCAAATTGGTTTCGTCGTGACTATAAACCGTGTTGTCATGACCAGTCAATTCTTTTACTGGAGCCGGTGCGGGTGAACCGCCTCCTGCTGGCATGATGAACACCGTTAACAAAAACATGATTGAACCTGGAACAAATTAAAAGTCAAAATAAATTTTTACAACAAACATGTACTTAAAAGTAAAAGTAAACCAAACCAAACTTCAACGCTGTCCTACTTGAACGCATATACATCACACATGGCCAAAATTATTGCATATAACCATATATTTTTTTATTTTGGACCTAATATGATTCCTTTTATATTTTTGGACATATTGGCTTACTACACGACTAACTAATATAAAATTAAAAATCTAAGTGCAACTAGGCTGTTATTATAATTTTATTTCATAATGAGTGAAAATCAACAAAAACAAATTTCATTTCAAACAGAAAATATTGAAAACAATTTTAATTATTTCTCACAACTAATAGTCTGTATTGCCTCCTCGAGCCTCAATGCAAGCTGTGAGACGACGTGGCATGCTCTCAATTAAGTTGTCATTTAAGGTTCAATTCATTTAAGGTATGGGGGGATCATTTCTTTTGGCAATATGGCGTTTTAGCATGCCCCAAGCATGCTCGATCACATTCATATCTGGAGACATCGGTGGCCACCACAGTTTTCTTATAACCTCTTCCTCACAAAATTCGCGAACCGCTAAAGTGTGATGGGGAGGAGCATTATCGTCCATGTAAAAAAATTCATCCCCCACTGCCCCTTGAAATGGACGCACAATAGGCTCTAAAACGTCACTAAGATATGGGGCACCTGTCATTGTGCCATCAATAAAAACAAGAGGAGTTCGGGCTCCGTGCATTATACCCGCCCATATCATAATGCTTCCCCCTTGAAACGGGACACGGGGTTGAGCTGCATTCAAGCGTGCTCGTCTTCCAGATGCTCTCCAGACCAAAGCTCGTCGTGAGTCTGACACTAGGCTTATTCTTGTTTCATCACTAAATATGACGAAATTTCAATTAGGTCCATTTTCCCTCCTCAGCCCATTGTAGTCGCGTAATTTTGTGCTTTAAATTGAGCTTCGGAACATGTAGAGGCCTCCTTAAATGTAATCGTCTGTCATGGAGTCTTCTTGCTATGGTTTTTCTTGAAACATTTACTCCTTCAAGGCGAGCTAACTCGTTTTTAATAGCAGTACTAGAAAGCAGGGGATTGCGTCGTTCAATTAGGGATATTTGACGGTCTTGCACAGTAGTAGTAACTCTCTTTCTACCTCTTCCAGGCCTGTCTGTAACCTCGTTTGTCTCCCTGAATTTTTTTAATATTCGCGAAACATCGTTTTAGTTAACTCTTACAATTTCAGCTATTGCAACTTGCCGGTAGCCCTGTTGAGACAGTGTTACTTAAACGTTGAAGAACTGTAAGAAAATCCTACAGTTCCTATTTTAGAGCAATTTCATAAATCAAAAGAAGTATACTTACTGACTGCATAAAATCCAACGTAAAAGATGTATAAACTTTCTCTGTAGCCAATAGCCTTTGACACTGGCTCTACAGCAATCGGTAAGTTGCCTCCAATATTGTTCATTACAAACAAAAATAATCCTACAGTTGTCGATCTAAGATGGAGTGGAACAATTTCTACTAGGATTGCGAATAGGATTCCAAACCACATTTCGGCTGAAAATTTTTATAAGATTAGATACTAATAATTTAAGTAATATTATAAACCATTTTTAAAACAAAATTTAATTGCTCAATATTTTTAGTTGGACTTGACGCGAGTTTTGTGATTAAACTGTTAACATCACAAATTCTAATGGTACGATAATAGGGGACAATAGTCCAGCGGCGTGCGGTCCGTGGAAGCGGGGGAAGCACCGCTTCCCTAAAGTTTTTAAAGATAAAAAAATAAATAGTTAAACGTTAATAATATTGTTATTTTATAACACAACATTAATTTGTTAAAATTATTTATTTGAAACCTTACATAAACGTAGTAAATTTAATTAGCTTTTTACTGCATGGATGCGCGCTTGGAAATCGCAGCCGGTCGCCTATCCCTTCTTCATGTAGGTGTTATTGACCTCGAACGCAAACGACAAATTTAAGCCGGAAAATCGCGCACAGTTGCCAGCCACGGCAGCGATCTTTCGGTCGCCTTCCTCGACTTTTAATTTATCGGGACGGGTTCGCTTGCCATTTTATAGGTAATATTATAATAAATTAAATCCAAAATTTTATGATGATGTTATATACAAATTTGCAATGACGAATAGACCTCAAATACAAATAGGTGTCTATCGCGCGTCTAGTGCTTCGGAAAATTAATTTAAAATATCGTATTTTAACTATTATAACTTTATGTGTTTTTATTTGTTTAAGAATTTTCGATAGAATTTTAATCGAACAATGGAATTGGCCTCGGAATTTTTAAAGGTAATTTTTTTAAGAAAATGTAAAAGTAATGTCTCGAAATAGGGGTTTTTACCGATTCGCTTCCCCGCCTATAATTGTCACCGCACGCCGCTGCAATAGTCTTTACCGTACCGCTTTGAATAAAAGTTAAAAAAATACCAATTTTTGTAGTGTGCAGTCCTTGTGATTATTAACAACCACTAATATTTGTAAATCTGCGGATTAAATTTATTAAGTGAAAAATAGTTATTTTTTATACAAGACGATAATATTTTTTATACAAGACGATATTTTAACGTTGACCGAAAAGATTAATTCACTCAATTAATTTCGGGAGACGATAATGTAATTTTATCGTCGTGTATAAAACAATATTTTTTTCCATAGCGATTTACGTTTTAAAAAATATTCAGAAATTATTATTTCAAGCAGGGGCGGATACAGGAATTTATTTTATGGGGGCCTAAAAAAAAGTAACGTAGAATATGCTTTTTAGGGCGTCATTTTTAACCCAAAAGACTAATACTTAACTAAATTTACAGATTTTAGGGGGGGGGGCGGGCCCCATGGGCCCCCCTCTGTATCCGCTACTGATTTCAAGGAATTTATTACGAGGAGAACAATATTGTGCTGGGTTGGCGTTGGTTTCTATGTAATTTGACAAATAAATAAAGCTGTCTCTTTAGTTATCAGTTTTGAGTCAATATTTTTTAATTCTCTTTCGTGTCGATTGCTGATTGAATTGGAGCCAGAAATGGCTCAAAACGAAATAAGTAAATTACCAACAGATATTCAGGCTGTGGCGACAAACGCCATATCCAAACTACTTCCATTGAAATACCGAATAACTTATGAAAAGGAATACAAAAAATTTCAAAAATGGAAGCAATTAAAAAACGTGCGAGAAGAAATAAAGTTTTTAACCTATCCTCGCTGTGAAAGTATCATTTAATCTACCCGGTTGCGGTTAAAGTACTATTTTATATACTATTTTTGATAGATATAAGGCAATTTTAACAGTTGCTATGGAAAAAAAAAATATCATGAACAATACACGACTGGCAGTATAGAGTTTAGTATTACCGAAGAAGTAAGATATTCCTAAGGTGATCATAGCTCCTACTGGCTCGCAATAAACACTTCCAAACGCTACTGGGGTAGCTAGAATTTGGCTAACTGCGAGTACAATCACTCTTGATCTAATACCCATTTTAGCTACGAATTTGTCAGACAAAATTCCACCAGCTACCACTCCAATACTTCCGATGATTATAGTGACGGCAAATAACCACCAACCTGAAAATTTTAATAAAAATTGAAATTTCTCAGATAAATATAGGCCCTCGCTGCTGCAGTGGAGGGTCCTAACTGGGACCCACTCATACACTCACCATATAATATACTCAGATGAAAAAAAAGCAACGGAAACATTTTACGTCAACTTTAAAGAGATATATGTATTTTTTTATTTTTTAGTCCCATTTTCATGAATTTTTTCATTTTATTTATATATTTTGCCTAGTTTATTATTAAATATTATTACTGTTTGTTATTATTACTATTAGTCAATCCTACAGCAATTTCAAATAAAAAAATAATGGGTTTTAAGGTAATTATTACAAAAAACCTAATTTTAAAAAGTTTAAACATCCAGTAACTCTAAAACTATGCATTTCCATACCCATGTTTATAGGAACTTTTTTTCATATTTTTTGATGAGGAATCAACGAGGACTTATTTAAAACATTTGCAAGTTAATGATATATTTTTTTTAAGATTGCTAGTAGACTTGGATCAAGGCAAATTAATAAAATTGCGTTTATCTCATCAAGGAGGCCGAAATCGACAAAATATCAAGAGGCAACTTTTAATCGCTATTAAAATGCTTACACTATTTCGCTAAATAGAGAAAAAAAAGTCAGTGGCGTACATGCTTTTTTTTAGAAAAATATTCCAATGATAATAACCCATATGCACGTCCCTGGTGAATCTGTCGACAATTTTTTAGCTGTAAAATATGTCACCCACTTTTACCCTCAAAACTTCGAAATTTCATTCGAAATGCTAAAAGTACTTGGAAGAAAATTATAATAAATCGAAAAAATATTAAGACTTTAACACCCTGTAGTTACGAAACAAGGCAGAATCGGACTTATGTTGATATGAAAAATAAATCTTATTTTTATGTGAGGAACCTCCTCACGAGAGATGGCACATGTTTTCTGAAACACCCTGTAGAATAAGAATGTTTTTTAAAGGAGTATCTAACTTACACCCAAAATAGATCCAAATACAGTACTACATGAGACCCAATCGTGATTCTAAAAGACGTTAAGTTGGAGGCACTGGGGTCGAAACGACCTCAACTTATTCTCAAACTTTAAATGGGTGAGGTGTATGATGTATGTATTTTAATTGGTAAATCCAGTTTTTTATAAACTTTTGTATTTGGCTTATTATACAGGGTTGTTTCTTAGAATAACTTTAGAACACTCTGTGCAAAAAAAATATTTTTTTCCTCATATCAACACACGCCTTAAGAGCGAAATGAACTTACCATTAACAATTAGCAATTTTTTTAATTATCATGACTTTTTAATGATATTTTTAATATGACGCAAGTTCATTTCACTCTTAAAAATTAACCAAGGCATGTGTTGATATGACCCAAAAAACAAAATAGTCATGAGTCTTGGTTTTGACTGAAAAGAAATCTTTTAGGGAAATTTACTCAAGAAATTATTGCACAGACTGTTTTAATGTGTGAGGGTAAAAAATAACCCTTCGATTAACATCGTATAATAGCAGTATTTCCGGCAGAGGACTGCTTTTTGTTATGAAAAAAGAACTTCGTATAATAAGCCAAATACGAAAGTTTATAAAATCATCGAGTTTACCAATTAAAATAGATATATTTATACAGGGTGTCCCAGGCTAAGCGTGCATTAGAAGTTTCTAGAGAACCACAATATCTAGATCGGTGAATTTTTGCACATCATTGTTTCACAACGAGATCTATCGATTAAAAATATTTTCAATATGGCCGCACATCCGGAAATACCGGAAGTTGACAGCAACTTTCTTATTTTAAATGGGTGACCCCATTTTTTATTGCATACTTAAATTCTCCCTAAAATTTTATAAATTTTGATATTAAACCCTCTATATCTAACATTAACCGTTTTTGAGAAAAAAAAATATTTAGATTTTTGGACGAAAAAAATTGCTTGTCGAAAATATGTGTATAGCCTACACGTCAAAATTAGTGGTTACCACAGCCACTGTGTTATAAAGAGAAGACATGTGGTTATCTATTTCAAAAATTAAATTGTTCGAATGTCATATAGTAATGATGTTAGCTGTCATGAAATTGAGCGATTAAAAAATTATCATAAATCATTTTTTTCAAATGGAAACCCGCTTTTTTTATTTCACTAGTGAAAAGGTTTTCCAATTCGTTACTTTTTGAATATACATGTTCCTATACCTAAAATAAATCGCTATTAAGTTATTTAAGATTTAGTTTGAAAACGTATATTTTTCTTCATTTTATCTAGATTCCTTTGACAGTAAGTGTCAAACAGTCAGACAATTTATTTCCATCTATCAGAAAACGAATTATTTGAATTTTCTATACTAAAAATACTGCCTGCTTAAGAATTTAAAAAGTGTATTTATAAAAATATATCTCGTATTTTCGCTCTTTAGTGATATGTAATAGTTAATATTATTAATAATATACACTATGATCGAAAAAAAAAAACAGAGCAAATTGGCTTGGAAATGATGATCGATAACATACTGCTTTTTAAACAAAGTGTCACAATATGACATGCCCACATCTACTAGACGTTTAAATACGGTGGTTTAAAGTCATAGGCTACTGGTTAAAATCAAGAAAAATATACGTTTTAAAACCAAATCTTAAATAAGTTAAAAACAAATTATTTTAGGTATAGGAACATGTATGGTCAAAAAGTAACGAATTGAAAAGCCTTTATACTAGTGAAATAAAAAAAAGTGGGTTTCCATTTGAAAAAAATGATTCATGATAATTTTTTAATCGCTCAATTCAATGACAGCTAACGTCATTACTATATGACATTCGAACAATTTAATTTTTAAAATAGATAGCCACATGTCTTTTCTTTATGACATAGTGGCTGTGGTATTCACTAATTTTGACGTTTAGGCTATACACATATTTTTGACAGGCAATTTTTTTTGTCCAAAAATTTTAAATATTTTTTTTTTTCAAAAGCGGTTAATGTTAGGTATAGAGTGTTTGATATCAAAATTCATAAAATTTTACAGAAAATTTAAGTATGTAATAAAAAATGGGGGTACCCATTTAAAATAAGAAAGTTGCTGTCAACTTCCGGTACTTCCGGAAGTGCCGCCATATTGAAAATATTTTTAATCGATAGATCTCATTGTGAAACAATGATGTGCAAAAAATCTCCGATCTAGATATTGTTGTTCGCTAGAAATTTCTAATGCACGCTCAGCCTGGGACACCCTGTATACAGTTTGCTAAAAAGATAAAAATAAGGCCAAGGGGTGTCTCTCACTGTTGGAATTACATGATGAACATAGGCCATCTTCTTAGCATTCTTAGCAGTCATTGGCAGTCGTTTGGCAGAAAATTATATTTTGGCAGTACATGTACATTTATTATCCAAGTGAGACAGACACCTACCCCTCCAATAGGGCTTAAAATAAATAAAATAAATTACTTTAAATTTGGCGAATTTTTTTCCGTTGCGTTTTTTTGCATCTGTTTGTATAAACAGTAAAAATATGTGTGTTGAATGAATCAATTGTAGTCTGTAGTTTTAGTTGTATTGAAGTTATTTCTAGTTTTTAGAATAAAATAATAAAGCTCTAAATTGGTTTATTTGAGTTTTAACATAATAATTAATGCATGAATTCGTAGAGAACTAAAATTCTACTGAAATATTTTAATTAAAATTAATGGTACAATGTTATTAATAATAGATATATTTATTTAATGGTTTGTTTATTGAAACATAATTTAAGGTTATTAACACAGCTGATTTGATTTGTATTTGTAATTATAACTTGAGAGGTGCAAATGAATGGAATTCATTGATTGATTATCGCAGTGGCGGCTCGTGACCCTTGTGACTGGGTAGGCGACAAAATTTTAGTTACGTCTATTTGCCCCCCCCCCCTCCCTAATTTACATAATACCCTAACCCAGTTTGTAAATATATGTTATTCCTGGGTTAAAAACATAGCTCAAGAATATTTAGGACAAAACTAAAGCAAAAATAACAGCATTCAACGTAATGATATAATGATTGACATAATGTACAAGTATATGTTTTTTTATCTATTACTATGGAGTACATCATTTTAATAGAATTTTATTTTGTTTTTATTTATTTACTCAAACTTAAAAATTGGTAGTATTGAGAGAAAGAATAATTATGTTTTATTATATATTAAATTGATGAGTCGGTCTCTTAATAAAGAAAAGTTATTTATTATTATATCAGTAAAATCATCAGATTGTTGAAGAGCTGTGAAAAGATCTTTTTAGATTGAAAGTAAGGCAAGTAACGATAAACGTTTATTTTTCTTCGAATGTCTACTATAAATTTTAATGCATTTCAAACATGAAAAATGTCTCTCAACCCATTACATTATTTGATAGATCGCATATAGATTGATATTGATAGAATTTTAATTAACGTCATATTTTTTGCTGTTTTAAAATGTCATGCAGAGAAGCACAACATAGTTCAATGTTACGGAAAGGTTGAAAATAGTCATCAGAAAATGTGATACAATGATCGAAAAAAAACGGCGTCAGCGATGTCTATGGAATGAAGATCGCTGCCATTTTATATGGAAAACTATGTGGGTAATAATGTCATCGATGTTCATTTCCAAAGTAACTGATGGACGCGGTTTTTTCGATCTTATGGTACTTTAGCAATAGCAAAAAATACGACGTTAATCAAATTTAATAATAACCATCTACCGTCCATCTATCAAAGAATGACATCTAAATTTACTATATTACCATAGAAACACCTATTGATTTTTAGGACTTTTTTTTAGGAAAAATTCAACCATATTTTCATGTTTTTTTTTAATTTTCTTTAAAATGGTATGGAAACTATAAACGGGATTAATTATTTTAAAACAGGCATATTTTTCTCAAAATGTCAATAATAAAAATGTTTTTTCTGTTGTAAAGACAATTCGGAGACATACTGTATATTTTTCTTAATGGAATATTAAACATATCTTGTTGTCCCTACCTATCTATTGCTTGTATGTATGCTATTATCATTTATTTGCATAAAAAATTCATTCAAAACACATTCATAATATTATGACGTCACCGCGTCTCCTATGCATTACTCCTATATGTTCTAATTAATTGTAGAATATTTCATTAATTCAATAATTATTTTAATAACCTCATTTATATATGAAGTGAAGAACAAAGCAGTTGATTTTGAAAATAATAATATACCTAAAATAATTAAATTATCCCTTACATTATCAAATTACAATGTAATTATCGAATGAATACTACTATTGCCAGAAACATTAGACGTTTTTTATGAAAGGAAATATTTACATAATATTAAACTTTATTTGAAAAAATATACAAAAAATCCTATAAATTGATTAGTAAAATATTAGTCCGGTCAATTTAGACATTTGAAGGTACATAAATATACAACAAGCTGAAAATGCGTGTAATTGTTTAAAATATAATTAAATATAACATTTTAAAATTCCGAATCATTCCGGTGCCAGGAAAAAATTATGCGATTATATCAAAAATCTCAAAATAAAATGTTTTTTTCGCGATTTTCAACAAAACGCACAGCGGGCTGGAGACCGGGCCGCTAGTAAGACGAAACTTCTACGACAAACTGATTCAACGCAACTTAATAATTTCTGTATAAAACCATCTAATTATGTTTATTATTTTTAAAAGATGTCAAAACTATTGATTTTGTGGAAAACAAAAGCTGACTAAATACATAAAATACAAGTGAAATGAACTCATGTTGTATTAACACGTTTAAAAAATTTGCAAAATAAACTAAAGCTGCTAATTAAGTACAAAGCTACAATCTACAGTCTAAATAAGTATAAAGCTACAAAGTTAAGTACAAATCTACAATCTACAATCAAGTACACGGTGTTCATTTATAATGTGTCCCCCTTTAACTTCTTTGTTTTTCGCATTAGAAAAAAATGTTATAGACAAAAATTGTAGGGTTAAATGTAAACTATTTGCAGCGTATATTTTTTCATATACAGAGTCTTGCGTAAACGTGTGATAGGTCAAAAGTACATATTTTTAAATGGAACACCCTGTATATTATTACATTTTTAAAACCTTCACAAAATTTTAAGTGCTTTTTATATAATATGACATATGCTTAAATTTAATAATTTCGGAAATATCCGCCTGTGAATAATTATATAAAAAGTAATTAAAATTTTGTGAAGGTTTTAAAATTGTAATAGCATACAGGGTGTTCCATTTAAAAATATATAATTTTGACCTGTCACGCGTTTATACAAGACCTTGTATATTAAAGAATATATTGTGCAAATAGTTCACATTTAACCCTATAACTTTTGTCTAGAACATTTTTTTCTAATGAGAAAAACAAAGAAGTTAAAGGGAGGCACATTATAAATGAACACGCTGTACTTAAGTACTTGATTGTACTTAATTTGTACTTTTTAGTGGAATTCTTTAACAAACTCGTTTAACTTAAACAAGTGTTTTAATTTATTTTATTTTTATGCTGTTAGTTGTAAGCCTCTATTAATAAATTAATATTTCATACCCCAAATTTGAGACAAATCGATTGATAAATAAAAAGTCTGCCATTTGGATCCGCCATTAATTTTTACCAACAAAAAAAAACATATTAAAAAGTAGAACATATTTTACTAATCATAAATCTGAAAACCGCATGTTCACATCTGCTTTGGTTCGAAAGTTATGAATTTATTCCTTTTACAAATGCACTAAAAGATTTGACTAGCTTCACTGCAGTAACAGTGAAATATCGTTAAATATCGACGTTATGTCGAAGAGCGATTTATAAAGTTCTATTTAAAATGAGAATTAAATAGTACTTTGGATTACTTTGTATTTCCACCTCTGTCAATTGACAAAATTATTAAAAAAATAAGTAATTATGTATCAGTCCAAAAAAACAAGAGTGTAAACTTAGCAACCACTATAATAATTAAAATCTATATTGATCTGAAGCTAACTTACCTCTATTATATTCAACCATCACAATATGTTTTATTTTAAAAATAACTTCACTCAAAAATTAGTGTCAAGTTTGTTTCGCCTGTACATGCAAAATAGATGCTCGCTTGGGTACAAAATGTTGCTGACACTTTCAATTGTTTATGGTATGCTCAAAGCCTGCTACGAAATTATTTCGAGATGTATCGAGCAGGATAAAGTTTTTTAACTTTAATTCAGTAATAAAGTCTTGAAAAGGGGCTTAAAAAATAGGAGGTTTTGTCTCGCCATCTCATCCGTCTTCGCCTACTGTGAAACGGTGAGTTTTATCATAAAATTACCTCAGACAAAAATTATAGATCATAAAATTCTTTATAAAAAGATTATCAGTACTTTTTTTCTTTAGAGCCACTGTTTCTGAGATATAACGAGTCAAAGATTTGTAATCGTCATAATATGCACACGTTTCCACGCCATCGCCACCTATGAGGTAGGTACTTAGCACGTTTTTTTTAACTAAATTTTTAATTAATTTGTTTAATTGAAAACTATTGGCAGAATAAAAGATATTAGTAAGGATTGGAAATTATAAAATCGATGGGAATAAAAAAAATATATAAATTAACTAGTCTGATTCATAATTTTCAAATACTTCTTCTTGTTGTTCTTCTTCTTGATCCTCGTCTTGTTTGTTTTCTTCATCCTGGATGTATCACAGCCAGTTATTGCGTGTAAAAATAGTACATGATTTTCACTCTTTGCAAAACTGGTTGGACTGTCTTGTTCTGTGGCATGTACAAATTGTCAAGGCCGGTCATGTTCTAATGTTGAATGACCAATAGTTTAGAGGATTCATTTGATGCCAATGAAAAAATATGAACGATACATCACTATTGACGCAATTTACTTACATCCAAGAACAACAAGAAGAACTATTTGAAGGTTATGAATAAGACTAGTAAATTTCTAATTTTCTTTATTTCCATCGCTTATATAATTTCCAACAGAATCACAATAGGCATACTGGCCTACTGGGGAAACCAAGTTAAAAAAAACGCGCTAAGTACACTTGAATGGAAACGTGTGCATATTAGAGGATTACAACTCTTTGACCCGTTATATGTCAGAAACATTGGCTATAAGGAAAAAAAGTATTCATGCATTTTTATAGAGAATTTTATGATCTATAATTTTTGTCTAAAGTAATTTTATAATAAAACTTACCGTTTTCCGGAAAATCGCTAAAACCATTTTTTTCGAGATTTTTGACCTTTGACCTCACATAATTTTTTTGTCCAGCCACCGGAATGATTCGGAATTTTAAAATGTTATTTTTAATTATGTTTTAAACAATTACACGCATTTTCAGCTTGTAAATTTTTGTACCTTTACTGTTATTTTTTTGTCTAATTTGATCGGACTATATAAAATATGTTATGTGTATACTATGTATAAAAAAATGACACCGAAGGTGGCTTGGAAATGAAAATTGTAATTTTATATGTAAAATTATATGGTAACCATTTTCGATTATCATGTCTAAGTCTATTTGGCTCGTTTTTTAATTATACGGTATGTATAGTTTTTTCTATCAATATACTAACCTAAATCGTAATCCGGGAAGTAAATCTGGTAATACAAGTCGCAGTTGTATGCAAAGCACATACCACCGCAATGCCTAATTGAAGCAGCTAAACATAACATAATAATTCTGGGATCTGACACGATCGTCCTAAAAACAAAATTGTTATAACTAAGTAACAAAATAAAAACAAATCAGTAAAATATAAACTATGAAAAAAAAAAACGGCGTCAGGTTGGCTTGTAGATGACGATCGATAACATTTCCATCTTCATTTCCAAGCCATCCCTGTGCTGTTTTTCTTCGACTGTATGGTATGTGGCATGTTACTTATCGAACCATTAACAGATAGTCCATTTAAGAATTTCTTGAATGAAGCATTACCGAAATTTGAAACAAAGCATAAACTAAATAATTTTCTACAGGGTAGTCCGCAGGGGCGGATACAGAAATTTATTTTAGGGGGGGCCCAAATAAAAAAAATGCAAAATAAGCCTGTTAGGGCGCCATTTTTAACCAAAAAAGCCTAATATTTAACCCAATTTACAGATTTTATGGGGGGGGGGGCGGGCCCCATGGGCCCCCCCTCTGTATCCGCCACTGGTGGCCCGAACTGTATTCCCTAAACTTCAGCGGGATATTCTGCAGAAAAAATAAGCAAAAAAGTTCGTATAAATGTATGCCCTTAAATGCTTAGTTTCGGAGATTCGGTTTTCGGTGCAGAAGTGTCATTTTTATATCGATTTTTTTTAAATAATTTCTGAAGTAGCGTCAGTCAGAATTTTTTGACATGAGAAATTTGATTTTGATGTCAATATAATTCCTATTAATAGGGGGCGCCATCTACATGTGTTTTAACTGTTTTGAAGAGTAATAACTTTTCGTCTGTACCTGTATAAAACACTGAGTGAAAAAATATACATTTTCGTGAGTTTTTTCGTAAAAAATGTCTCTTGGTAAAAATTGTTACGAGCAACCGTTCTCAAGATATTTAGAATGGAAATAGTCAATACATGTCATTATTGACAAAAAATAAACGCGCGTTGAGTAGATAGTTATTTAACTGAAATAATACATTTGGGAAATTTTTATTTTTATAAATTAATCATAAACTTTTTGTGAAAATTATTAAATTATTAAATAATTAAATAGTTTCTGTTGAACTTTTGGCACAAAAACATTTCAAATTTATGATTTCAGGCTAATAGCTATTTAGTCAACGTGTTTAATTTATGTCAATGATGACAGGTATTGATAATTTCGATTCCAAATATCTCGAGAACCATTACTCGTAGCGAATTTTACCAAAAGACATTTTTTACGTAAAAACTTCTTAAATGAATATATTTTTACTCAGTAGTTATATACAGGTACGGACGAAAAGTTATTACACTTCAAACCAGTTATAAAATATGTAGGTAGCGCCCTATACAAGTAGGAGTCATATTGACATTAAAATCAAATGTCTAATGACAAAAAAATCCCAGACACCAATTTTCATTCAAATATTGATGTTACTTCAGAAATTATTTGGAAAAAATCGAAATAAAAATGAAACTTTTATACCCTGTATCTCTGAAACTCAGCATTTTAGGACATATACGAACTTTTTTACTTATTTTTATCTGCAGACTATTCTGGCGAATTTTCCGGAATACACTTCAGACCACCCCGTGTAAATATAAAATGTCGCATTTTTTAATTAATATTTTTGCTGCAAAAGGTCTGATATCTTACCACATTGTAACTTTTTTTGCATCCGGATTGTCTTGTCCAGCAGCATCCTCTCCGATAGATTGCCTTTCGGGTTCTTTAAGCGTAAACCATGTCAAGAAGGCAAAAATAAGAGAAATGATGCCGGCTACGTAGTAGCATATCCTCCATCCTAAACCCCATACGTTTGCGGGGGGCACATACCTTCCAACTGGAAACGCAATCCCTGAAAGATATTCGTGACACTTAATTTGGATTCTTAAACATAGCAATATAAAAGAAACTAAGCTTATTACAATAGATCACATACATAGGTACACTAGAGAAACGATTAGCCGAACAAAAGAATACGAACTTCCACTAACTGTAGTCTTTATTGACTTCGAGAAGGCTTTCGACTCGATATATCCTAAGGTAATAAATAAATAAATGCCTTTTTGTGTCAAAAATTTTTACAATTTGTAGACAAATGTAAAGTAAACAAACAAAAGAGAATACAAAACAAGTATACAAATTACATTGTCAGTCTTATTGTTTAAAATAAATATTTATAAATGTTTACAATGTCAAAGAATAAAAAAATAAAAATAAGATTCAAAAATATTTAGTAAGTTTATAGTAAATATGGTAATAGCCAGTGTTTACAAGATCAAATTCGATTATCAAAATTCATTTACTTGTCATTTAAAGTCATTTACGGCGTAGAAAGCTTTGTCTAGTAAATAAGGTTTCAAAGCTTTGCGAAATGAAGAAAATTATGTTATGGATTTTATTTCAAATGGCAGGTGATTGTGCATTTTTTTCGACTTGCATAATATTGAACTTTTAACTAACTCTGAGCGTGGGGTAGGTAGATAAAGATCTTGCTCCGCGTTCCTGAGTGGATAAGTGTGAGATGGCCTTTCTTGAGAAGCTGATACATGCTTACGTATTAAGCAAACGGATTCAAATATAAATAAGGAAGGAAGAGTTAATATTTTCAATTTTTTAAAAAAGTCCTAGTTATATAGCGTCGATATGCATGTCCCAATTCAGAGAATTGTCTACAACAACTACAACAAGCCCTACGAATTTTACAGATTTTACGACGTCAATGGTGGTTTTGTTAAGTACAAAAGGCTGCAGCGAGTGTTTATACGACAAAGTTTTAGTTTTAGAAATGTTGAGACTCGGGAGGTTCGAATTGCACCAAGATTTAATGGTGATTAAGTCATTTGATATAATCCTATGAAGTGCTGTGACGTCCTTGTTGCTCCATGTGAAGCTAGTGTCGTCCGCAAAAAGACATATTTTACCACTGATGTTTATGTTAGCAGTTAGCTAGTAATAAAAAGAGCCGTTAATAAAAAGAAGAAATAAAATAGGGCCTAGTACTGATTTCTAATAATTTCTAATTTCTAATAATTCTTTTTTTCGAATAATAGAAGCCCCAACGGAACTAGAAATAGACATGCCATATATAAAAACTTTTGCCAATATTGTATATATTAGATATCAAAGCAAGAGTAAGATATCAAAGCAAGAGTAAGAAGAATTCTGAACGCCAGAATTCCGAATTGCATTGAATTCCGCCAGAATTCTCAACTGCCAAAGGAGTGCAACAGGGAAACGTGACTTTTCAAATCAATTTACAGCAACACAAGAAGAAATCTTCAGTCAACTAGACTGGACCAATAAAGAATCGGAAATTGATGGAGAATATCTTATACCAATAGTCCTGGAAGTACTACAAGCACAAATTAACGAACTAAATACAGCCAGCAATAAAGTAGATTTCAAAATGAATTAATGATTCCAAACCAAAAACTAATTCTAAACGAATTAGTAGACAGAAAATATATTTATATAAATAATATAACACTGGAAATAGTGGGAGAATGTATATATTTGGGGCTACTAGTACAATGCTCATGATCATATTATGAGTACATATTATGGAAGAAACTGAATAAATAGATTAAGTCGATAAGAAAATAATATAGCGGATAAGAAAAAATATAGAGTGGATATGAAAAAAAGTGGTAATGGGAAGGAGACCTGTCAAGGACAGACAAGGGTCCGTTACAGTAGCCCCCCCCCCGGTTCTCCAAACTCTTTAATATTTTAGCACTGTATTGCACCCACCTAGCACTACCTAGCACCCTATTTACAGAGCTAGCACCACAACCCCTAGCGAGTTACAGGACATTTTTATTGGGGGGGGGCTAATGTAACGCTAGCCCCCCCCGGTTGAATATTTCCCTTAAAACTTTAGCACTGTATTGCACCCACCTAGCACTACCTAGGACCCTATTTACAGAGCTAGCACCACAACCCCTAGCGAGTTATAGGACATTTTTACCGGGGGGGGGGCTAATGTAATGCTAGCCCCCCCCGGTTGAATTTTTCCCTTAAAACTTTAGCACTCTATTGCACCCACCTAGCACCACCTAGCACCCAATTTACAGAGCTAGCACTACACTCCCAGACGAGTTATAGCATATTTTCACCTGGCGCACAGTGGGGCGGATGGCAATTCTAGTCGGACAAAACATCGGGTCCGTTACATTAGCCCCCCCCCCGGTTCTCCAAACTCTTTAATATTTTAGCACTGTATTGCACCCACCTAGCACTACCTAGCACCCAATTTACAGAGCTAGCACTACACTCCCAGAAGAGTTATAGCATATTTTCACCTGGCGCACAGTGGGGCGGATGGCAATTCTAGTGGGACAAAACATCGGGTCCGTTACAGTAGCCCCCCCCCGGTTCTCCAAACTCTTTAATATTTTAGCACTGTATTGCACCCACCTAGCACTACCTAGCACCCAATTTACAGAGCTAGCACTACACTCCCAGAAGAGTTATAGCATATTTTAACCTGGCTCACAGTGGGGCCGGATGGCAATTTAGTGGGACAAAACATCGGGAGCCGTTACAGTAGCCCCCAGTTCTCAAACTCTTTAATATTTTAGCACTGTATTGCACCCACCTAGCACTACCTAGCACCCTACTTACAGAACTAGCACCACAACCCCTAGTGAATTACAGAACATTTTAACCGGGGTGCCTAATGAGTCCGTTACAGTAGCCCCAGTTTGTCCAAACTCTTTAATATTTTAGCACTCTATTGCACCCACCTAGCACTACCTAGCACTCTATTTACAGAGCTAGCACTACACTCCCAGAAGAGTTATAGCATATCTTCACCTGGCGCACAGTGGGGCGGATGGCAATTCTAGTGGGACAAAACATCGGGTCCGTTACAGTAGCCCCCCCGGTTGTCGAAACTCTTTAATATTTTAGCACTGTATTGCACCCACCTAGCACTACCTAGCACCATATTTACAGAGCTAGCACCACAACCCCTAGCGAGTTACAGGATATTTTTACCGGTAGGGACTAATGTAACCTAGCCCTCCCCCGGTTGAATATTTCCCTTAAAACTTTAGCACTGTATTGCACCCACCTAGCACTACCTAGCACCCAAAGCTAGCACCACAACCCCTAGCGAGTTACAGGACATTTTTACGGGGGGGGGGCTAATGTAACGCTAGCCTCCCTCGGTTGAATTTTTCCCTTAAAACTTTAGCACTGTATTGCACCCACCTAGCACTATCTAGCACCTAACTTACAGAGCTAGCACCACACCCCCAGAAGAGTAATAGGTGGTTATAGCCAATGCACCGTCTAAAAATTTTTAAATAGAATATTTTAAGACGGTGGCCATAGTTAAGTCTGTGGTTATAGCATATTTTCACCTTGCGCACAGTGTGGCGGACGGTAATTCTAGCGGAACAAAACCGTTTTGTTAGAAATAAGCCAAATAATGTGTACTAATGAATTAATTGTAGGCATTCCAATAGATATAAAAATGCATCAATTATTTTTTGGTTATATATATTCTTTGTATGTCTTTCGATACATTTTTATCAACTAAAGGTCGTTTTCTGCTCAGCAAGGCAGAAGTTATACGAAAACAAAATATTTACAAGTGCTTATACATTCTATTCCAAAACCAAATTATGTTATTTACTTTTATACTACACGTATATTATTTGTTAAAATATTTCGTGCTTTTGTTCTGCAGATATCAAACTTTCACTTTTATTTATCAAATATCGATATATTGAATGATGTAGATCTTTTGAGTTACCAATAGTTACCAAAAAGTAGTAAGCAATTTTGATGCTAGAATATTTGTAGTTTCCATGCCCATATTTATTTGTACCGGGCGTTGCCAAATTGTTGAAAAAAAAACATAATTTTTAGGGGTCTCTCACCGATTCACCGGTTAGGTTAGGTTGAAGTCAGCTGCCAAGAATTTTTTGAAGCCCTCAAGAAAAAAAGGCGTTATAAAATCAACAGCTAAGACCAGTTTGACCGTTTTGTGGGATGTCGTGATACAATTTTTGGATCCCAACTTTCTTAGGGACAATAAAACGAAAGGTTTTGAAAAGACCCATTTGCAATCAAAAAATGTTGCTTTTCCTTAAACAATTTTCGCAAATAGAATAAATCGTGTCTAGAAGGCATTTTATTAGTGACAGGGAATTCAAGCTGAACTGGTGGACGCTTAAAAGTTTAATTTCAATCAGCTAGTATAAACACGAAACAAAGACTCGTTAAAGGGTTAATAGAAGACCTTTCAAAAGAAGATTGGGTTTTGCAAGTACTGTGAGCTTTAGGTCTAGTGGGAGTAGGGATGCTGCTGTAATAATTGTTGAAAACTCTGAAACTTTATCGAAAGGCACTGAGTTCAAAAAATCAATGAATGACACCAATAGTCAGTTCGGCAATTTTCCTCAAGACAAAAACATCCACATGATGTTCTAGATAAATAAAACATGATGATATGCAAAAGCCTTTTTTAAATTTCTTATAACTTCTAATAAAATTAAATGATTTATTACTAAGACAATATTTTAAACTTTTATTAATTCATCAGTACACATTATTTGGCTTATTTCTAACAAAACGGTTATGTCCCGCTAGAATTACCGTCCGCAACACTGTGCGCAAGGTGAAAATATGCTATAACCACATACTTAACTATGGCCACCGTCTTAAAATATTCTAATTAAAAAATTTTAGACGGTGCACTGGCTATAACCACCTATAACTCTTCTGGGGGTGTGGTGCTAGCTCTGTAAGTTAGGTGCTAGGTAGTGCTAGGTGGGTGCAATACAGTGCTAAAGTTTTAAGGGAAATATTCAACCGGGGGAGGGCTAGGTTACATTAGTCCCTCCCGGTAAAAATGTCCTGTAACTCGCTAGGGGTTGTGGTGCTAGCTCTGTAAATATGGTGCTAGGTTGTGCTAGGTGGGTGCAATACGGTGCTAAAATATTAAAGACTTTGGACAACCGGGGGGGGGCTCCTGTAACGGACCCGATGTTTTGTGCCACTAGAATTGCCATCCGCCCCACTGTGCGCCAGGTGAAGATATGCTATAACTCTTCTGGGAGTGTAGTGCTAGCTCTGTAAATAGAGTGCTAGGTAGTGCTAGGTGGGTGCAATAGAGTGCTAAAGTTTTAAGGGAAAAATTCAACCGGGCGGGGGCTAGCGTTACATTAGCCCCCCCGGTAAAATGTCCTGTAACTCGCTAGAGGTTGTGGTGCTAGCTCTGTAAATAGGGTGCTAGGTAGTGCTAGGTGGGTGCAATACAGTGCTAAAGTTTTAAGGGAAATATTCAACCGGGGGGGGGCTAGCGTTACATTAGCCCCTCCCGGTAAAAATGTCCTGTAACTCGCTAGGGGTTGTGGTGCTAGCTCTGTAAGTAGGGTGCTAGGTAGTGCTAGGTGGGTGCAATACAGTGCTAAAATATTAAAGAGTTTGGAGAACCGGGGAGGGCTACTGTAACGGACCAGATGTTTTGTCCCACTAGAATTGCCATCCGCCCCACTGTGCGCCAGGTGAAAATATGCTATAACTCTTCTAGGAATGTAGTGCTAGCTCTGTAAATTGGGTGCTAGGTAGTGCTAGGTGGGTGCAATACAGTGCTAAAGTTTTAAGGGAAAATTCAACCGGGGGGGCTAGCGTTACATTAGCCCCCGGTGTAAAATGTCCTGTAACTCGCTAGGGGTTGTGGTGCTAGCTCTGTAAATAGGGTGCTAGGTAGTGCTAGGTGGGTGCAATACAGTGCTAAAGTTTTAAGGGAAATATTCAACCCAGGGGGGCTAGCGTTACATTAGCCCCCCCGGTAAAAAATGTCCTGTAACTCGCTAGGGGTTGTGGTGCTAGCTCTGTAAATAGGGTGCTAGGTGAGTGCTAGGTGGGTGCAATACAGTGCTAAAATATTAAAGAGTTTGGAGAACCGGGGGGACTACTGTAACGGACCCGATGTTTTGTCCCACTAGAATTGCCATCCGCCCCACTGTGAGCCAGATGAAAATATGCTATAACTCTTCTGGGAGTGTAGTTGCTAGCTCTGTAAATTGGGTGCTAGGTGGTGCTAGGTGGGTGCAATAGAGTGCTAAAGTTTTAAGGAAAAAATTCAACCGGGGGCTAGCGCCACATTAGCCCCCCGGTAAAAAATAATCCTGTAACTCGCTAGAGGTTGTGGTGCTAGCTCTGTAAATAGGGTGCTAGATAGTGCTAGGTGGGTGCAATACAGTGCTTCAAAGTTTTAAGGGAAATATTCAACCGAGGGGGGCTAGCGTTACACTAGCCCCCGGTAAAATGTCCTGTAACTCGCTAGGGGTTGTGGTGCTAGCTCTGTAAATAGGGTGCTAGGTAGTGCTAGGTAGAGTTTGGAGAACCGGGGGGGGGGGGGCTACTGTAACGGACCCGACAGACAACATATTACACAAATTACCGCATGGCAACCATGTGGAATTAAGAGACATAGAAAAAGACCAAACCTAAGATGGGACCATTATACACTCACCGGCAAAAAAAACCGGCCACTAAAAACTAGTCCCAATTTCAAAGTTGGATTTCTCGCGAACCACTTATTAAATTTTGATGATTTTTTTTAAATTGTAAATTAATTCATTCTTAACGGATGCTACGTCAGCAATTTTTATTCCGAATTTATTTTGAGCATATACAGGGCACAACAATAAGACGATGTTTTTTGCCCAAACTTTGTAACACCCTGTAGGGTGCAGTAGCTGTAGTAGCTATTGCTAAATAATAATAAATCACATTGTAGCCTCATCTTTTGTGAGAATTTTGTTTTTTTAATCACGACATTATCTCTGTTTGTATTGCAGATACGCCGCTTTAAAACAAACGCCTCGAAAAAAGCTTTAAAAACAAATCCAACATCAGAACGTAGGTAAGTTTAACCTGAAAACTAACTAAAACATGAAAATTAAAAAAAAGGTAAAGACATTTTAAGACATTTAATATCTAGTGTCCACTCGCCTGGTGAAATTTCCCGTTTCCATATACCGATTCCAGGTATCCTGAACTGTTGTTCGAAATATACCCAGGGTATCGGAGACATAACGTTGACTTCGGCCATCCTCAATTAAAGCCACAATACGAGCAACATCCGTTACAGATAGCATTTTTTAATTTGACAACCGTTTTTTTCATATTGCAAATACTCACAACTCCGTTTTTGCCTATGTCGCCTTGATTACTTATAGTGCTTATACATAAAACTTTCTGCCTGCGAAGCATTTTTCCGAGACGTTCGTTTTAAAACAGCATATCTCCAATACAAAAAGAGATAATGTGGTGATCGAAAAAATAAAATGCTCACAAAAGATGAGGCTACAATGTGATTTAATTTAGCAATAGCTACTACAGCTACTGCACCCTACAGGTTGTAACAAAGTTCGGGCAAAACACTTCGTCTTATTGTTGTGCCCTGTATATGCTCAAAATAAATTCGGAATAAAATTCTGACGTAGCATCCGTTAAAAAGGAATTAATTTACAATTTAAAAAAATCATCAAAACTAATGAGTGGTTCGCGAGAAATCCAACTTTCAAATTGGGTCTAGTTTTTAGTGGCCGGTTTTTTTGTCGGTGTGAGTTTATTAATAAATTAGTAGGGATAACTTTGACCCGCATAAGTTTTTTGATCAAGAATACTTTTTATGGTGACAGATAACCAATTCGAACTTGACTTACATTTAATTTTTTTAACTGTCAATATTAAGCCTGTTTGATAACAAAAACTTGTCTCTCTTACGGTATCTATCATACTTTCTCCTGCTTACCGTATCCTCCGTAAATACCCCAATTAAAGATTGACATTACCAGGGCTCTTTTTGCTTCTGGAAAAATGTCGGACAGGATGCCAGTACTTAATGGATTGCATCCTGATTCGCCTGCAGCCATTATCATTCTGAGTAGTACCAGTTGCCAATATTCAGTTACTGCACCGCTGATAATGATAGCCACAGAAAATACTACAGTGCATACGGCTAACATCCTTACTCTAAAAAAATCGGTCAAAATGAAAATTGTATACACTGATTTGTATAACAAAACTTATATCTTAAACAATATTAACTTATTATACTAACAAAGAACGAAATAAAAATGATAATTTCTGTCGAGTTGATTACTATATTTCATATATTATCAAATATCGACCTTTTTTTATTGTACCGGGTGGCCAACTAAGAATGGACGCCGGCTGTATCTCAGAAACTACTTATCGTATAACTTTGGGAAAAAAATTCTAATAAGTCAATCGACCAAGAGAAATCGTTGGAAATTATTTTCAAGTTCGAAAAACGGCCGCTAGGGGGCATTTCTCTAATAGCCAATCAGAAAACAGGTTTTTTTTTTCAAAAATATGCAGGCGAACAGGTACTTTAAATATTACTATTGTAATCATCAAGAAATTTGTAATTTTTTTGATATAGAGTATTTTGCTTTATCTCATAAAATAAAGTGGTGGGGGAAGATTAAACTTGCTTTTATTAAAATAATGATAACTCTGGTTTGGGTTACGCGATTTAAACAAACTAGGGTTCGTTTAAAAGAGCTTTTCTTCCTTAATGATCCCCAGTAAAAATTTTGTATCCACAATTTTTTTCGTGGTAGCTAGAGGGCGCTGTTTGACATCATAATAGATATTGCGCTTTTGCGTAAAAAATTTAAATAGGAGGCTATATTTCTCTTTGCACTGTTAAATAGGGCACAAAATTTCCAAAATATCAGCGCAAATCGCAACTTTCTATCTGCTCTCTAACCGGAGATATTAAGAGAACAAATTATGTTAGGCTGCCGCTTAGGATTATATGGTCTAAAAATTATAGTACTAGGCTAGGAAACAAAAAGAGGTAAATTGGTTACGTCAAAATATCAAAACGTTTAAGTTCAGTTTTCATGCATCCGAATTTCGGGCGTTTTCTTAAAAAAATGACCTCATAATTATTTAAACTTGTTTATGTAACATTATCATCCATCCATATAATTTTTACGAATTTCTTGGTTAATTATACGTAATTAGTTCTCAGATTAAAATGTCCGAACGTCGAAGAATCAATAATTTTATTAAATATTTAGGAATTTTGTGCCGCCATATTGTTTTTAACAGAAAACCGCCGAATTTCGTATGGTCGAAAACTAGGGGTTTATTCATATAAGGTCATTTAGTTATTAAATCCAAGTTCGTCCTTGATTTCACTTGTTTTTGTGTTTTACCTGTTGTTTGTGTTATTTATTATTATATTATAAAGTTTATGTTGTTTGGGTCACTTTTCATATAGCACCGAACGAAGGTGCGAATCTTAACTTAGCTCGAAATCTGCCCTTGATGCAAGTAATTTAGCACCAAGACCGTTGGTCGGTAAATGTTTACGCATGAATTGTAGGATGGCGAATGATTGGACTTTTTTAATTATCTGAATGAAATGGATTATCCATAATTTCTAAGAAATGAATTGCCAATTTTGTTAGGGGATCCATCATGATGAAATTGCATTTGTTGCAATTTCATCAGCATGAATGCCGTTGGTGTAGTTGAGGCAGTGATGCCGCTATTGCCGCTTGATGGGGCTTCTTGGATACCACTTACTTTAGTAGATAGAGACGCTGGAGCGGCATATTTCCATAGCCAGTGTGGTCATCGGATATGCCTGGGTATTAATTTATGGGGTCGAATCAAGAACGAAACATGGATAGATAATAATTAAACGGTATTAAAATGAAATTAAAATATATGTTTTGATATTTTGACGTAACCAATTTACCTCTTTTTGTTTCCTAGCCTACTACTATAATTTTTAGACCATATAATCCTAAGCGGCAGCCTAACATGATTTGTTCTCTTAATTTCTCCCGTTAGAGAGAAGATAGAAAGTTGCGGTTTGCGCTGATTTTTTGGAAATTTTGTGCTCTATTTAACTGTGTAAAGAGAAATATAGCCTCATGTTTATTTTTTTTTCACAAAAGCGCAATATCTGTAATGATGTCAAACAGCGCCCTCTAGCTACCACGAAAAAAATTGTAGAAACAAAATTTATACTGGAAATCATTAAAGAAGAAAAGCTCTTTTAAACGAGCCCTAGTTTGTTTAAATCGCGTAACCTAAACCAGAGTTATCCTTATTTTAATAAGAGCAAGTTTAACCTTCCCCCACCACTTTATTTTATGAGATAGAGCAAAATACTTTATATCAAAAAAATTACAAATTTCTCGATGATTACAATAGTAATATTTAAAATACCTGTTCACCTGCATATTTTTGAGAAAAACCCTGTTTTCTGATTAGCTATTAGAGAAACGCTCCCTAGCGGGCATTTTTCGAACTTGAAAATAATTTCCAGCGATTTCTCTTGGTCGATTTACTCATTAGAATTTTTTTCCCAAACTTATATGATAAGTAGTTTCTGAGATACAGCCAGCGTCCATTCTTAGTTGGCCACCCGGTACAGGGTGTCCCAAAGTAGCGAAATAAGCATTCGGCATTTAACGTTTTATGTAAAACTGGCTAGGTATTTTTACACAAATGAAGAAGGAAATTAAAGATAAAGGATTATACTATATCCGTCTTGTAGCACATTTTTAGACAACTTCTATATTTTTTAGAATTTTGATGGTCACACATCAACAAAATATTCGTTATGTTTGGACTATTTTTATTCGAAAATAAAGACATAGTTTAAAATTCCGTTACAATACGGAAATAGTTTGAAGTTTTGTTTGAACACATTTTCATGGAAACTAAACGTATGTAAATACCTCAAGATTTTTAATGAATATGTGTTCACTAAATCAGTTACAATACGTCAGCGAAACTGACAGGACTGAAATATTATTATTTCTTATCGTTAGGTTTAATAGTTATTCAAAATGACCCATGAAATCGAAGCTAGTCTAATTGCAGTCCATTCACAAATTTACGATAACTAATAGGGCTTATGGTATGAAAAAAAAAATGGCAGAAACGTGTATAGGTTGGGTTAGTACAATCACCATTTCAAAGTATTTGATTTGTACTTACAGAAGTAACCTTTAATATTATCATAGTAGCAATTAAATGTTTAAGGTCAGTGGCTTGGCAAGATTATATAGATATGGAAATAGTTTTGTATAGTATTTCTGTTTTTAATAAAAGTAGGTAGTGTTTTATAATATACCGGGTGCGTTTCATAAGTGTACGGCATTTATATATAACGGCACCCCTATAACTTTTTTATTTTTTCAGATAAAAAAACGAGATTTGGTATGTTAGTGTATGACATAAATTATGATTGATTAACGTATTCAATTGTTTTCGGTCACTTCCTGTTTCACCGGAAATGACTACAACTTTTGATTTTTAAATAGCACCATCGGTATTTTTTTACTTTATTCGATAGAAAATGACACTCTGAAGCGGAAGACATATCATATGTCAACTTTTGACATATTCGCTCAAAAATAAATTGTATTTTAAATTTTAATCTAGAGTGCCATGGCTGTATTAAAAACACTAACTTTTAATCAAGGAGACTTGGAAAAATAAATTTGATCGTCTAATGTTTTTAATGTCTTGTCCTGGCCGGTTGAAAGATGCCCAAAACGTATTTTTAATCTCAATTTTTTCAAATGGAACGAGGGTGGCTCATTAGCATATTCGGAAAAAGCATTTTTTTACGAATAATTTGATGCCACATACTTGGTATTTCGAGTCAAATGGTCGTTACGACCCAAGGATACTATAGAAATAAGGATAGTTCGATTCCTATCTTCCTGTACTGTTAGTTTTTTTACGTTCTAGGGACCGAGTTGAAGTTCGCGCTAAAGATTTTAGACAGTGACAGTTATTTTTGCGTTTAAAGGACGAGCGCACAGTGCGGCGCAAGATAAATCTAGCGGGACAAAACCGTTTGGTTAGAAATAACCCAAAAATGTGTACTGATAAGAATAAATAGTACACATTCCAATTGATATAAAAATGCATGAATTATTTTTTGGTCGTATATATTCTTTGTATTTCGATACATTTTTATCAACCAACCATATAATATCGCTCCTGAGATTTTGTTCAGCTAGAACAACCATCCGCCGCACTGTGGAGCGCTGGTCCCTGCGTGACGTAAGCATCCAGGGTGACTACGATAACGGCGATTTGACGCGATCGAACAGTCCTTTACAATATATACAGTCCTTGGTTACGACCCGCATTTTACAATTTCAAATAAACCATATGCGAAAATGTCAAAAGTTGACATATGATATGTCATTCTATTCAGAGTGGCATTTTCTATCGAATAAATTAAAAAAATACTGAGGGTGCCATTTAAAAATCAAAAGTTGTAGTCATTTCTGGTGAAACCGGAAGTGACCGAAAACAATTGAATCTGTCAATCAATTCTAATTTAGGTCATATACTAATATACCAAATTTTGTTGTTTTAATTGAAAATATAAAAAAGTTATAGGGGTGAGCCACTTTTGAGACGCACCCGGTAGATAACGACATCAAAATATACAGTATCGACATCAAAATACCATAACTAAATATTTATATAAATCTTAAATTAAAATTTTAGCTTTATGCTTGTTTAAGTACCTAGCAGAACTATTGTAGCACTGAAAACTAAATTAGATAATTATTTTTAAAAATAATAATATGCTATTACATGCCACAAATAGGTCAAATTTAAACTGCTGTAAAAATATGAATCTGACAAAAAATGTGCTGTTTCATATTGGATCATATTTAATTTAAAAGACATTTAATTTTGTCAAAAATATTTTTTTCATTTCCTCAGCTAATTAATTAAAATTAATTTCTTTATATTTACGGAATTAATGATTACCATTTACGGAAATACACCTATTTGAATTTGTACTGTAGAAGAAATTTATATTGATAGATGCTCAAATGGAGGTATACAGCTATTTTTAAAATATTAAAATATTTTGTGATTTCAGTTTAAATATTTTGATACCTCAAATTATATTATCTCAGTCTTCTTTTAAATGAAATAAACCCTATATAAAACTATATACATTATTTTAGAATTAATAATATTTATATATGTAATTAGGCATGGTTTACTGTTCCGCTCAAGCGTTAACATTTTACTTCAATTTTCTAACAATTATCGTGACTAATAAAGGAAATAACATATAAAGGGTAAATAAACGTTAGTATAAACAATATTTTGTTGCTCTCTCTCTTCAGTCCTTCACCCTACGTGAGAGTATGGTGACATCATGTGTTGATTCCCCTCACTCGGGCCAAGTTGTTCGACACTGCGCCATATGTGGGGCTTCGGGTATGTTGCGACCCATTAGGGTTTTCTTGGTCTACCCACCTCTTAGGTGACCTTCCACGTGATCGTCTTCCCTCTACCTTCCCCTCCACCATCAGTCTCTCGATTGAGGTGCCACTCCTGGCAATATGGCCAAAATATCGGAGGATTGACTGATTTAATTTGGTAACCAGACGTGTCTCAATTTTTAGTTCTTCAATAATAGAAAAAAATGTTCGTTCGATGAGCCGTCCATGGTATTCGCAGCAACCGTCGATATACCCACACATCTCCAAGGCGTTTGTTTATTCTTTGCTTATCACTTTCCTTTAGTGTCCATGCTTCAGAGCCACACATAGCTATGGGGAAAATGAGGGAGTTTGCAAGTTTAGTTTTCCGTATGATTACTGAGGTCTTCCATATCTTAGTCAGCTTTGTTGTTGCATTCCTCGCCATTGCTTCTCTGCGCCTGATTTCAGTCTCGCATCCTCCAGAGTTTGTTATCGTGGAACCGAAATAGTTGAACTGGCTCACAACCTCGTATCCAGCTACGGTTCGGACATCAAGTTGGTTGTTCTCAGGTTAATCCTTCTGCCCCCCCACGGATATCCCACCGTTCCATTCTTCTATTATTCGACACATGATATACTCAGAGTTGATGTTGGAGGCAGATGCCGAATTCGGCCTATGTCCGAAATAATTAGACATATGGCGATTTGTCCATACTAAACTTGCCAGATGCGTGCTTATAACGTAGCTTATAATAATGCGTGCTTATAACGTATATAGTCTTTATATAACTTCTTTCCGGAGGAGGTTAATCTTTTTTTGGTATAATATAACAACAAAAGATTAACACCCTCCGCATAGAAGTTGAAACCAATGCAATCAAAACTCTTCCATGTAACTTTGTGGATATAGGTAGGTATATTTAATTATAATTGCCATATGTCTAATTATTTCGGACACAGGCCGAATTCGGCATCTGCCTCCAACATAAATATTAAACAGGATTGGCGAGAGTATACATCCCTGTCTCACAAGTGCGTTACTCTTGAAACCACTCAATAATGTGTTATTAGCTCTGATTTTAGCATTGTTGTTCTCATAGAGCTGTTTTACCAAATCAATGAGGTGAGGTGGAGTGCCCATTTCTAGTAAAATAGTCCAAAGTTAATTCCATTTTATCTTATCAAACGCCTTGGAGTAGTCCACGAAGCACAGGACACAGGTACACACATCTCGATGTTGTTGTTCTAGTGACACCAAAATAGTTTCGTTTCGTCGACGTTTCGACAAACATATTGTCACCCTCAATATTCACTAAAGTCAAGTTGACACGGTCACAGTGCCAGATCAAATTTGCTTGACCGTGACAACTAGGCTTTAACAATAAATCTGACTATTATTTGATCCAGATGCAGCAAAAAAAATTCACAGTCCTTTACAAAGATGCAACCGGGGGGGCATTGAAAATGATGAATAAAAACGTAAAAATATGATTAGTGTTAATATGAGTGTATTACATACATATGTTTAAATAACGAACAAAAAAAACAACAGATTTAAAGATTCACTGAAAAAGTAGTAATGTTAAAATTAAATAAAACATTATCAATAATAATTATGCGATCGCACGTATCCGTAAAAAAAAAGAAAGCAAAAAAACCTCGAAAAAACAAAATAACATACAAAACATCAGGTTAACATGATGACAGATCATGATCAATCACAGATAAAGAATTCTTACGGAAAGTTACACTTTACGATATAATTTTTTAACTGTCAAAGGCAAACCCCATTTAAACACAAAACTTTTTAATACCTACTACTGTATCTAAAAGACTTTTTTTTTTAAATTACTAAATTCTTAGCCACTCTTCTGTTTTTCTTGGCTGTTGTGCGTCACGTCACAGATTAACAGGCCCACGTTTGCACCACAAGGCAATGCTGCAGACCACTAGGTAGACCGGTCGTAGAAATTTATGTTATACAACTTGTAGTCAATCTACACAAATATTATCAAAAACTTTTTTTCTTTTAAAATGTGTTCAGATTTCAAACCAAATTACAGTAGCTTGTAAATTTATGTTTATATTTTATCTAGCGCCTAATATTATTTTGTGTTTATATTATATTAATACATCATGGAATTTGTATAAACAGTAAAGGTTCATTTGACTTAGGTTGTGATTATGCTGAAAAGCAAATATGTAAGCAATTTACAACTATTTCAAATAAATTGTAGGGTTCACATCATGCTTCGTTAGCTTCCATTTTATTTGGATATATAAAATAGAAGCTAACGCTTTTGATGAGTTCATCTCACAATCTGTATTATTAAATAAAGTGTGGATGGATTGTTAATAATTTTATAAGAATGAATTATATTTATCTTTACGATATTACAAACATAAATTATAATATTTAAACGAACTAAAACAAACATATTTTCACGTTTATTTTCAAATATTTGTCATAAGCCTTCATTATAAAAATTTCTAATAAAATCAGTAGATAAGACATAAAATTAGTAATTATTAGCTAATAGGATTACTAATGGGGGTATTACAGTTGACTGAAAGAATTAGGAAGACACGCAACCTAATAGGCCGCAGTTGGTTAGGTTAGGTGACAAGGTTGATTTGATTTCCCCTTATGTCTCAAGTGCTGTACGGTGGAGCCCCCAATCGTTCTGCGGCCAACGCATAAAACACTTATTTTCTCTAATTCGGTCAGCGAAGGCATTTCGAAGACGATGTGGAAACAAAGTGAGAGTTGACGAAAATATCTTTGGATGAAAAATCCACCTTTATGTATTGAAATTGAAATTTATTCGTGATAGAAAACATAGAATAAACAACAAAAATAAAAATTCTTTTATAGGTACTGAATATTTCGTATGATCGAAAAAATTGGTCAAGTGCGAGTCGAACTCGCGCACGAAGGGTTCCGTACCATTCATTATCTATACAACATTAGACACTATATTATTATAAACTTTTTTTTCGATTTAGCTGAAATATTGAATGCGCGTATAAGTAATTTAAAAAAAATGAAGAAACATATTACTAAAAATTGTATTAATCAATAATAAATATGTAAAAAGTAAAAATAAATATGTAAAAATATGTAAAAAATAAAAAAAAAACATTAAAAAAAGCCGCCTTGACTAGGATTCGAACCTGCCTTACTACGGCTCCAACGTCATGGCAGCGTAAAGTCCTAAAGTTTTAACCACGCGGCCACCGAGGACTTGAAATATTCTATGTAAAATTCTTACTTTAAAGATAATGTTTAGTAAAAGTACTTTTTTATTTATAAACATTTATTTAATTCTGTTTTTGCTATTGGTTCTTATAGCAGCAACATAGATACACTATCTGTAAAAATTTCAACTGTCTAGCTATAACGGTTCATAAGATAGACCTTTGTGACAGACGGACGGACGGACGGACAGCGAAATAGGGTTCCCGTTTTTACCCTTTGGGTACGGAACCCTAAAATGGCTTGGAAATGATGATTATTGAAATTTACCATATTATTTTATATACGAAATAACAGCGATCTTCATTTCCAAACCGACTCTAACGTCGTTCTTTGTTTAATCGTAAAATATTATATTAAATTGTTTAATGATCTCAAAAAAATCCGCATTATTAACGTACAAATCCGTAAATCTACGGATTAATCCGTAGTTCTGGCAACACTGTCTTGGGCAACAACTCACTCTGTCGACGAGAAGCAGAACTACGGTACAGTATTCTTTATCCGCTGCGCTGTAAACGACTATCGGCGCGCTGCGGTGCAGAACTAAACTAAATCTCGGACAGGCTGACCGTAACGCCAGCTACATCTCGGACATGTTTTGTGCCACGAAATCGTCTATAAGGTTGCCATCTTGTTATTTCTTCAATCCACGGTATTACTCTAAAGAGGTATTAAAATCAAATAGCTTTAAATTGATTATCAATTATAAGTTATCGTTGAAAATAAAAACTTTAACATGAAAACGGAAAAAATAATAAAAATTACTAACAAAATGTCTGAAATAAGTAACTCCCACTTCTTAATGCATTATAATATTACCTGTTAAATTTATCTGCTAAATATCCCATTATCACACCGACTATAGTAAACACAGCTATAAAGCTAGGACCGGCCAAGACTTGGTAGTCTAAACCAAGTCCGTTGTATGTCCATTCGCAGTAGGGTGTTCCATTAATGTTGTAAGACAAACATGTTTCCGAATTGTTTGCTTCGGCGCAATCGGCAGGCAGGTCGCTGATATAGTATTCAGTTGTGTTTAATTGGCATGCTATATCACCTGAAAATCAATGAAACAATTTAGAATCCCTCCCTCATCGGCCCGTGTATTTATATATGCCAGTTATCTACGATATTCTCCAATGGTGGCAGCACTGGCGGAGAATGCACCAAGTCTATATGTTTTGATTCCAAAAATACGTAGTAGTTCTATGCCCACGGAATATTACGACATCCTGTATTTGTAATTAGTATAGTCAAATAAGCGATATATACATATATAAAATGCTAATGTTTATCTGTGTCGTCTCTACTGAAGTAACGACTTACTCTAGAAAGTTGCTTTTTTTACTAAAAGATAGATAATTAGCTCTTCTAAAAACTGTCGTCGCCGGATTTTTTGTCTTTCATTTAATTAAAAAAAATAAAAAGTATTCCAGGCTTCAACTAGTCCACCAGGCTTCAACTTAGTAGGTAATAATTTGTTATTTGTTCTTTAATAACTTTTTTAAAATAAAAATAGATTTTTTTAAGTTCCTTTATCCAATATTAAGCAATTAAATATTTAGAATGTCTTTATTACATAACGCCTATATTACAGGTAGCTTACTTATTGTTTTTTTTCTAATTACAACACGGCCTTCAAAAAATTAAGATTGATTATTAAACGGACTGCTTTGAAATTTCAATGGTAATGACAATGTCAATGTCAACTTTTGCGTTGCGTTCCGGGATGAATGAACGCTATTTTTTATGTATTGAACGTTTTTTAAGCGTTATTAGAACTGGGAAAATTGATTTGTAGTCTAGACAAATTATACTACTACTGAAACTTTGTTTTAAATGTGCTGAATCATTGTTTAATTTATCTATTCAAAATTGTGTAGGTATTATATTTTTTATTTATACCTATTTTTGGTGATACTCAATAAATTATTTTTTAATTGGAAAAGTTATATTTTATTATCATTTAAGATTTTCATCTAGGATAATACATCTAGGTAATACACAATAGGAAAATATTTATTACTTAATTGTGTAAAGTAGATATACCGGGTGCGTCTAAAAAATGGCTCACCCCTATAACTTACACTACTTATTTTTTCACATAAAAAAACGAGATTTATTATGTTAGTATATGACATAAAGTAGGATTGATTGACGTATTCAATTGATCTTAGTCACTTCCTGTTTCACTGGAAATTATTACAACTTTTGATTTTTAAATGGTACCCTCGGTATTTTTTTACTTTATTCGATAGAAAATGAAATTCTGAATAGAATGACATCTCATATGTCAACTTTTGACATTATCGCTTAATAAAAAATCGTATTTGCCTTGTAAGGAGCCTTGGAAAAATAGATTTGATCGTCTAATGTTTTTAGTGTCTTGTCCTGGCCAGTTAGGAATTGCTCAAATCGTATTTTTAATTATATCTCAATTTTTTCAAATGGAACGAAGGTGGCTCATTAGCATATTTGGAAAAATCATTTTTTACGAATAATTTGATACCACACACTTGGTATTTCAATCACATTTTCGTTACAGACCGCAAGTTATAATTTCAAATAAACCATATAATGCGAAAATGTCAAAAGTTTAGATATGATATGTCATTCTATTCAGAGTGTTATTTTCTATCAAATAATGTAAAAAAATACCGAGGGTGCCATTTAAAAATCAAAAGTTGTAGTCATTTCCGGTGAAACAGGAAGTGACCAAAAACAATTGAAAACCGTCAATAAATCCTAATTTATGTCATATACTAACACACAAAATCTCATTTTTTTAATTGAAAAAATAAAAAAGTTATAGGGGTGAGCCACTTGTGAGACGCACCCGGTATAATAAAAATGTTAAGATATAAAACACAAATTGAAAAATTCCAAAAAGAATAGGACTGCTTAACACTACTTTTAAAATTGGGACGACTAGGTACCATTAACCGATTAAGCTTAAATCGAGGGGTGTCTCACTATTGGAATTACATGTACATTTTCTTGGCAGTCGCTGGCAGTCATTGGCAGTCTTGTGGCAGTCGCCTATAATAATTACATGGCAGTCATAGGCAGTCTTCTTCGCAGTCATTGGCAGTCGCTTGGCAACAAAATTATATTTTGGCAGTACATGTACATTTTTTACCCGAGTGAGACACCCCTCGGCTTAAATGTGTTACTTGTTCAACATTTTTGCTTTGAAAAAAAATGTGGAACTTTACATGAATCCAAAAAAAAATATTTTAAAACATATACAGGCATTAATTGAAATTTACTTTCATTTCTTAACATGACAGATGAAGTTCTAAAGGGGGATGGTTTGTGGTAGTACATACGCCATAGCACAAGCCACAACGCCTGTCAGACATTGCCTGTCAGATGTACATTTTTACTCCTAATAGAACAATAAACTATTATGCAAAAATATTATAAATAATCTGCTTTCTTGTACAGGGTGTCCCATTTTAGTTGAAATCATACATCTCCGTTATATTAGTGATGATAGAAACCCTTCTATCGCGCGGTTTTTACAACCCTGTCCCACTTTTTTGTCAAACGGAAGATGCTGTAAACAAAATTTTTATAGCCCTCTTCGTTTCTGAGCTACAGGGTCATTTTGAAAAATTTGCAATTTGGGACACTCCCTGTATCTCTGTTATTGTTAAAGCTATCGAGAAGGTGAAAACTGTTTATTGAAGAACTTTTTACGTAGAATACAGTGGCGTTGTCTGTTATTCTAAAAAACAATATATTTAAAGATATAAACTAAAGTTATGTTTTCTTAAATGGAACACCCCGTATACTTATAAATTATACGATCCTGCTTACCATAAGCTTTTCAAAATATAAAAATATATATATATATATATATTTATAAATTATACGATATATATATACCATAATATATTTCATATATATATATATTCTCTCTATATTTATTTTCACTATTTACTGTAATATTTACAAGTTTTTGTTAAAAGATCATATTTATTAGTAGGCCATGATAATAAAAGAAACTAAAGCATTTTTACAAATATACTGCTATATGTCTCTTGTTTTATTTTGGGAGCTACTAATAAATTCTTTATGTATTAGGGAAACTTAACTCTCTACCGCTACTTGTAAATCCTGGAAGTTATCGTACAGGAAATTTTAGATATTCCTTTAGCTAATTTACGTGAAATATACTTTCAGCAAGATGAGGTTCCAGCTCACAACTTTGAAGATATTAGAATTTTGTTAAATTATTATTTCTCAAATCACTGAATTGGAACCAATGAACCCATATGATGGCCTCCCCGATTCCCGGATTTGTTCGTTCTCGATTTCTGATTTTGGGGACTTTTGAAATATGAAATATATCCTGGCAACTACAACAATGTCGAACACCTGAAAAATACTTTAATAATGCAAGCTTTTAGATATTTGCAAACCCATCTCGTTATAATAAATTTCGTTATGAAAAAAAGAAAAATATAATATTCACAGATTCACTGGTAACAGTTTAAAAGTAAAATAGATCAATCCCAAATAACATTTGAATATGTGTATGACTATTTTAGTAAATACCATTTTGATTTTTTTGTTATTTATCACGGCCTACTAATAAGAAAATTATATATTTTAAATATTGCAGTAAATAGTGAAAATAAATATAGAGTGATATATATTTTTGAGAAGCTGGGAATACAGGGTGTTCCATTTGAAAAAACATAACTTTAGTTCATATTTTCAAAAATATCTTTTTTCGTAGAAAAACAGACTACGCCACTGTATTCTACGTAAAAAGTTCTACAATAAACAGTTTTCACCGTCTCGATACCTTTAACAATAACAGAGATACAGGGGGTGTCCCAAATTGCAAAGTTTTCCAAAAGACCCAGAAGCTCAGAACTCAGAAACGAAGAGGGCTATGAACATTTTGTTTGCAGCATCTTCCGTTTGACAAAAAAGTGGGACAGGTTTGTACAAACCGCATCCTCCTATCTTTACTAATAAAGGAGATACCGTATGATTTCAACCAAATAGAACACCCTGTACAGGGTGGGTCAAATTCGACGCTTTTATCCATCCGCGTCTGTCCATAACAGAAGACGGTCGATATGTCGAACACCTGTAGCAAACTCTCATGTTTTGGTTTGCTATTTATTTTTATTGTTATTAGATATAGTTTAAATGTGTTGATGTTGGTTAAATATATTTTAAATTGTTATAAAGTTCTGAAGCCCTCAAACGGAAGATGCTGCAAACAAAATGTTCATAGCCCTCTTCGTGCCGTTCAAAGCCTAGGTACTTATTTAAAGCGGGGAATTTTTATATACTCTATATCTCGAAGAGGAATCAAGCAAAATATCAAGTGTGTTATATTTTGGGAAAGGTAATTTTAAATTCGTTTCAATAAATGAAAAATATACAGGGTGTCCCATATAAAAAATCAAATTTTCTGTTGATAATTCTTAAATTATTAATTTTAAAAAAAATTACATTTAATCCATTAAATTCTACGTAAAAAGGTGCTTTGGAAATGTTTTCATAAAAATACAAAATTTTTCATAGCAAAAAAGTTACAGCGATTTGTTAAAAATGCATATTTTTGAAAAATACCCCGTAACTCCGAAACGGTAACAGATATCGATATGCGGTTTCCATCATCATGTTTTTGACAAAAATTGAGCTCCAGACACCGATATTAGTTTTCGTCTATCTCCTATAGAAAAGGGTGTTTCCATTTAAAAGCGTCGAATTTGACCCACCCTGTTACATATATTTTTATTTGAGAGAATCTGCATATAATTATTGTACCATTTATATTTAAAAATGATAATATTTGAGGGGATTTATCTCAGCTAAGGGATTTATCTGAACAGCTGACAATGAATATGCAGAAGGCAAACTGTTCTTGGATCCCTTCGTTTAGGTAGGCACATGCATTTGGATGAATAAAATATAGAGTATTCACTCTTAGTCTAAGTTAAAATACATGCCATTCTGAATAATCATTGTCCCTTTAGCAATTGTGATAGGTTTGATTGTGTGTGTTATGCTATAGCGAATATTTTTATTAAGAAGTTTATTTAAGTAGCTGTTTTTTTCTCTTTTTCATTAAACTGTTTATTGCAATTTTGAAAATATCTAAAACTTGTTTTATTATTTTGAAAGGCAAATAAATTATCGATACAAAGTTAATTATAAAGTAATTGCTGTTATCTGTAATCTGCAATTTTTAAAATCAGTTATTTTTTCAACACATTTAAAAATTAAATAATAAATTTAAAAAATTTCAAACCTGGAATTCTAGTGAAAATCAAATTTATTTTTTTTATTATTTATTTAATTTATTTAATTATAACCATATAACACACTTACCATAGTGAAGGTCCGTTGCAATTGCTTTACTTGTCACACCAATCATGTAGTGTCCTAGTTCACCCAACACATATCCTATTGACACTATGGCAAGAACGTAAGGCTGGTAAAGGCCTGCCAATTTTTTTGATATTTCTAACATGGTGGAGGCCTATTATATCTGAAAATAAAATTGAAATTTTTAATTAATTAATTTTGTTTTGGTATAACAAGGAATTATAAAATCTTCTCCAATGCTCAAATTTTTGGGAAGTATATACGCCCATACTAAAATATGTTAATAAAAAGTTGGTAGTCAGTTCTTTTAGTTTCAAAGTAAAGGAATTTTTCCAATTTTTTTTATCTTAAAAACTGCGACTGACTGATTTTGATTTTGTTGTACAAATTTTGTTGCAAATATTATTCCTAATCTTAAATTGAAAACCGCGTTTCGCTAGCTACTGTAATTTTGGAGTTACTATTTTTTTAAATTTTTAACCCCCTCCCATACCCCCTTACCAACCCCCCACCCCCACCAAAAACTAATGGCCAGATTCTCGGGTGTCACAGTATTTTTGTGCCAGATTTGGTTAAAATCGGTTTAGCAGTTTTTGAGTTATCGTGTTACAGACAGACGGACAGACACCAGGAAAATATTTTGTATTTAGGTCATTTTTATGACCGAAATAACTCATTTTGAGTGAAATTAAAAAAACTGTTTTTTGCCTATACCATACCTGTTGGTATGGTCGGCTAAAAAGTTAGGAACTTTGTTTAAGTACAAACCTAAAGTATGTATTAGGATGTATTTCAGGAAAATATTTCAAGTTCTACAGGGTGGCTCAAAAAAGTGTGAGTGGATCGGGATGATTTTTTTTAAATGGAACACCCTGGATATTATTGCATTTTTGGACAGGCTGACTGTAACGCTAGCTACATCTCGGCCAGGTTTTGTGCCACGATATCGCCCATAAGGTTGTGCATCTTTTTATTTCTTTTTATCGTATAAGTATAGTAAGTAATTAAGCTGGACTCGTAACGTTTGCTTTTAGTAAAAGCAGCGAAGTAAGTAAACGGTATTATAAAATATATTTTATTTATCATAAAAACTGTTATAATCGTCTAGATTTGTCTAATGACTTAACCGATACACGGAAAAATACCTTGAATTATGCCAAAGGCAAGGTTAATGCAGTTCTGTCTTAAAATTACAGTTTATTTTTATTTCAATGAAATCGAGCGATGTTGGATTATTTTATTACAAAATATACGACTAATTAACAGTCCAAGAAAATCCTTTCTTTCTAACTCTTGCCATTTTAAAGCGACGTTTTATGTAGTTTCAGATTATTTTATAATTAACAGCCAATTATTTCCTGTTTAATGTAAATTATTCAATCTTTGTAGTCGATTATTCATAGCGTAAGTAGAATTGTTAGCCTAGTAGTGGTTAGAGTTTTTTTTAAGTGAGTAATTAAGAAAAAATGGGAATTTTCTATATTCATCTTTGGAGTTAATGTGAAACATAACAAAATATTGTAACTAGTAGTTATTAATTTATTAGTTATTGTTTAGGGTTTTTCAAACTTCAGAGTTTACTTTTTTCTTCTTTATCTTACAGTACCTTGGCTCTACAGTATTTAGGTGATCACTTGGCATTTTTCAGCAAGTACTTTGTCAAAATTTTAATTATTTTTGTAATTTTGAATAACAACTAATAAAAAAATAAAAATCGACATTTAATTTGATTAGCGGATAAAAATATGTAATAATATATAATACCAAACCATAAGAGACTATACAGGGTGAGTCTCAAGGGCAACTATTTTTAGGGCTGGCATATTTCGACTTTAAGAAACATGTCTGTGAGATTTTTTTCGCAAAAAAAGATGTTGAAGATCGTGTATTTTCTTTTAAATTATCCTGTATATTTTAGAAAACTTTTTCGAACTGCCTGATCACCGCAAATTTTCCCATAGTATAATTTGTTAATCTCTGATATTACAATTAAGGCTTTACTTTTTGGTTACGGCACTAAAGGGGGTGCAAATACAGAAAAAATCCGGTGGCTCTCAATTTTTTTTTAAAATAAATCATTTTAGATTTTGAATTCATCTGATTCTACAACACAAAATACATTAAGGTTAGGTTAGGTTATTACACCTTCCGTATCAGTGTTGCCACAGCTACCCCGTTCGGGGTAGATCTACCCCTTTTTAATAAAATCTCGCCCCCTCGCTCCCCCCAAGCACTTCTACCCCGCTCCCAGAATATCAGCTATGAAAATAGTTAATAGCTACCAGTTACTTACTACACAATAAAATACAGAAGAACGAGTGAATAAAAGAGATAAAATAAAATAAAATAAAATATAGTTTTCTGTATATTTGCGGCTGTTATAATAACCCATTTTACGAATAGATGTCGCTATGGGTAAACGAGTTATGGGTTTTTGATGCTGGGGTTGTTCAACACTTCCAACTAAACACTTCTTAATTTAATAACAACTTTATTTTGACTTCAGTTATTATACATCGAGCAATAAACAATGAGAGATCGCCAAGCGACATGGAGCATTGGAAGAAATCGAAAGTCTCTCTCTCTCTCTAACTTAAACATAACCTTAGTTAATCCTAACCACAGATCGTACCTGAACTCTGTCTTTATACCCCCTTTACATGCAGCCACTGCCGCTGCTACTCGCGCTGCCCGCTGTCCTGCCCTCAATAATTCCACGGCAGCTGTAGAAGCAAGTGACCGTTTACATGCAGCTACTGCACCTCGCATTGCTATTGCTCTCCATCAGTAAAGTAGAAATTGCGGCGACAGCGCTCTGTTTTTTGAGTTTGCAAAATTATATTAATATGTTAAAGAGAAGTGTGATAGAAAAAAAACGCCGACGTATTTGTGCACACTTTAGCATACGCAAAGTAGCACTTTCCCGCATACTACGCGGTAAAATATTTTTCCCGGACACTGATTTTGAAGCAGAATTACCATATTATAAATTACTAGATGATTAGCCTTTCAAGTCGTATCAAAAAGTATGTTCGTATATTAAAGTAATTTGTACTTAAAAAATCAAAAAACGTGGATGGCATGCAGTTGACAAAGTATGCATTAGTGGTTTCCCTAAGTAACTATCTGAACAATAATTTCGCACCCCAAATAACATGAATATTTTGTGTTGTTGTATAGGAAAAATAGTAGGTAATTACACAACAACTAACACTCGCGGCGCCGGAGGTTCGGCAGCGGCAGCATGTAAACAGACGTTGCCACTCGTGCTGCCGTTCCTTTGATGTCCCTTCAAAATACCGCCACTGAAGGCAGCGTACGGCAGCAGCAATGACATGAGCAATGGCATGGCGAGCGACGTGTTTACATGCTCGCGCTGCCCACTTCCCTGCCCAATGCCATGCTCACTGCCGCGGAAGTGGGCTGCATGTAAAGGGGGTATTAGACGTACCACAGACTTGGTAAATAGGGAGGGTAAGATCACATGACCCCACAGAGTTGCAAAAAAAAGTTGTAATTTCGGCTTGTTATTTTTGTCCCGGTTCTGATATTATGTGATTCCCCTGCGAATAGTGCGAATAGCTAGATCCTGGTCTATATATAATCATCCATAATGAAGGGCTAGATTGAAGATTATTTTATTATATTATATTGTATATTGTAATATAGAGTGTTGATGAAGCATGGAAAGGTATGTAAACCTACTCTAATTATATAAACGGGAGCATCATTAAGACGTTATTTACGTTCTTTAGCTAAACGACACTTTGAAAACTAAAATGTTTACTGTCAATAATATCATGATGATATGATGTTAATATGACTGTTTTTTGTTACGTTTATTAAGAGGCTCAAGACATTTATTAATTGCACGATATTCATATGGTACTATAATAATATTCACCATCCCATGTGGGCCCCTATACATATAGCATTTTTTTTTTCGTAGGTTTATAATAAGAACTAAGAAAACTAAAGGTAACGATGAAGTACCAGACACCAATAAAAGTCCACAACCATCCAGATCTGACCTTGATATATCATCATTTACACGGGATAGAGACTTGGATCCATATGAAAATCCACAACCCAGTACGTCATCGTCATCCTGCCATGATATTCGCCTTATATCTACTTCAAGCTTAGAGACTGCTGCTGATGAGAGTGATGAGGCTTCACGACATGAAGATGAGCCACAAAAGAAGAAAAGGTATAATCAAAAATTTAACACGAACTGGCAAAACCAATATAATTGGATAAAAGAGGGAAATGACGGAAAACCATTATGCGTGGCATGCAATATACAAATATATTGTAATAAATATAATCTAAAGAGGCATGGCGCATCTACATCTCATCAGAAAAATATTAATAAAATGAAAAACACTCCTAAAATTACACAAATTATTTCAAGTGAAAAACACGACAGGCATAACACATTAGTAAAAACTGCAGAATTGAGTATTTGCATGTTCTTACAAGAGCACAATTTGCCTTTTTTACTTTCTGATCATCTGGCAAAATTTTTACCTCACATTTTCCCAGATTCTGAGGTAGCCAAGTCACTGACATGCAGTCGAACAAAGTCGGTATATGTCACTAAGGAATGCTTGGCGAAACAACAGATTAAAGAAATGGCTGATATTTTAAAATCCAGTCATTTTTCCTTAATAATTGATGAAACCACCGATATTGCCACTGAAAAGTCCTTAGCCATAGTTGTGCGATACTACGACAAAAAAACAAATACAGTAAAAGACTCATTTTTTGGTCTTATAAAAATGGATAGTTCTTCTGCAGATGCAATTTTTAATACAATCCGAAACCATATCACACAACTCAATATTCCAATACAAAATTTAATCGGATTAGCTGCGGACAATGCTGCAGTTATGATGGGAAGACACAATGGCGTTCAGGCCCGTTTTAAAGAGATTTTTCCAAATATATTTGTACTAGGCTGCATATGTCACTCGCTCCATCTTTGCTCCTCTGCTGCTGCCAAGAAACTCCCAAGAAGCTTAGAAGATTTCATCCGGGAAATTTATAACTATTTTTCCAATAGTAGTAACAGAATGGCAAAACTACAGGAATTTCAAATATTCGTTAACTTGAAGCCGCATAAACTTCTCCATCCAGCGCAAACCAGGTGGCTTTCTTTACAAGTAAATTTACACTAAATTCTTTTCAAATAATTATATATTAATATATATTTTTTCAGGCTGCTGTAGACAGAATTTTGGAAAACTGGAGCCCATTGTTGATGTTTTTCACAAATGAATCCTTTGAGCAAAATTTACACTCCTGTAACAAAATATTAGAAAATCTAAAGTGTCCCATTTATAAGGTATATTTTCAATTTTTATCCTACGTTCTAGATATTGTTAACAAATTGAATGTAGAATTTCAATCTGAAAAAAACAAAATACATTTAGTTCAAGCTAAAGTAAAAGCTTTATACAAAACACTTATCCGAAATTTTATAAAAAAGGAATATATAGATAGCACTCCAATAAATAAAATAAACCCTTCAAATCCTAGGTTATTTATCGAACTAGATAAAATTTATTTGGGTGCCCAAGTTGATGTAACGATTGATGGCAACTTTGATGCAAACGAGGTTAAAAATTTTAAACTTCGGTGTCTCGATTTTTACATTGAATTGTGCACCGAAATAAAAAAAAGGTTTAATTTCGAAAATCCTGTTATGGAATTTCTAGCCAAATTTGACCCAAAAATCGCTGTATCCGGAGAAATTGTCAGTATAGCCAAAGATACTGTGGAATTTTTTCCAAATTTGGTAACCGATATTGAGAAACTCAGTACAGAATGGCGTTTACTTGCTGACCTCGATCACTTGAAAGGCCTAAATTTAAACTCATTTGAAGACTTCTGGAGTGCAATTTTTAAGTTAAAAAGTGATGCTAGTGACCCGTTATTTCCCCATCTTTCTGTCTTGGTGAAAGGATTTTTGTCTTTACCTCATTCATCTGCTGCAGCAGAAAGGGTTTTTTCACAATTATTTTTGTTAAAAACTAAAACCCGAAATAGATTAGATATTGATACCTGCGAGAGTATTTTGCATGCTAAGGAGTTACTAAATAATGAAACTTGCTATACGTGGACGCCTTCCACAGAGTTATTAAAAAGAAAATTTAGAGAGACGTAAATATACCTAATGCTGTTCGTTTAGGTACCTACCTATTTAATATTGTAGTTTTCTTAATAATATTTAAGATTTTAGTTTAAAAATGTACCTATTGTTTTTTATATATTAATACCTAGTATTATGCATTTAATGTTATTGATGTTTTTGTATTTGTTTTGTTTTCGTTGTGTTTAAAAGTTTTTTATTATAAATATATATTATTAAAATCTTATAGTGTCATATAAATTACGAATTACCCAGCGCACGAATTGCACAATTCCATCTTCTTGTGTCTTCGGAACTCGGAACGACGACGATTTTTTTGCATCATTATTGCATCATATAAATCAGCGCCATCTAGTAAACATAATAATCACACCAAAAAAAATTATTTTGGTCATGATTGTAGTCATGATCATAGGTGGCGCAACAGATTTCTGTAAGTCAAACTCCTAAAATGTTTAGTTTTATAATAACGAAAAATTTACTCATATCTGAAATGAAAAATGTTGAAAATATTTAATGTTATTCAGGTTATTCTATGAATAAAAGAGGTTATTCTATCCTAAATTTAATCTACCCCATAATCTACCCCTCATCTACCTAATTCTACCTCCCTCTTTCTCGGCAATCTACCCCGAAAAAAAAAGTGCTTGTGGCAACACTGTTCCGTATACCTCAGGCCTGGATGACATTTTAAAACGCATTTGCAACATTTGCGATAAGTTACTTATAAAAATGATTTTGATATAGTTTTAAGATATCAAAATTCAGTTTTTAATCGCCATATCCTATAATATATAATTTTGCTAACAAGATAAAAAAGTCAGTGGCGCACATATGTTTTTTTAGAAAAATATTACAGTATTAACCCAGAGCACGTCCCTGGTGAATCTGTTGACACTTTATTAGTATTAAAATATATCGCATTTAGAATAACTTTTATCCTCAAAATTTCATTCGAATCGCTAAAAGGACTTGGAAGAAAATGATAATAAATCGAAAAAATTAAGATTTTGACCCCCTGTAGCTACGCAATTTTGATAAAAAAATAAATCTTATTTTTACGTCAGAGATATATCCCTTTTCCAAAATTTTCAGAGAAATGGCACATATTTTTTGAAACTCGTATAAAAATTGTATAGCATAAAAATGTACTTATCAGAAAGGACATAATCTGAATTTATCAGAAAGTACCGAAGACGAGTTGAAATAAATGCAATTAGTCAAACCCTTAGACTAAGTCAAACTCTGGAAGTGTATTTTTAATATGCATGTTGTATGCGTTTGGAGCTATTTTGTCAATCTGTATATTGTTTTTAGAATCATTAAACTAATTATGCGGAAATTAGATAGATAAAGATAACCGTTTGATTATGAAGTAATTATGCAGAACAGTTATAATACTATTATCATAATACCGAAATTAAGCGACATTAGACGAGGCGGGTGGATGGCCTGGTGGCCGACTGGAAAATCTGTCATGCTGTTGTTCCATGGCAAGAGTGTAAAATCTATTGCCACACACTGCTCATTCACGCTGGTTCTAGACCGGATGAGATCTATATCTCGCGAGTAAGAATCACTTAGAGTTAACTCGGTAGGCAATTGACAATGATATGGCCGAGGATTGCGGTTCCGATTCCGTGTAAACAAAGTAGATCCAGATTAGCCTTAGCAGCAAAAAGGAGACGTTAACTTAAAATACTTTACTTTCATTGTTATATTTTTAGATTCTGTAATATACAGGGTGGTCCGAACTGTATTCCGAAAACTTCGGCAGCATATTCTGCAGATAAAAATAAATAAAAAGTTAGTATGCCCTAAAATGCCTAGTTTCGGACATACAGGGTGCAGAGGTTCCTTTTTTATTTCGATTTATTTCAAATAATTTCTGAAGTAACGTCAACATATGGATGAAAATTGGTGTCTGAGAGTTTTTTGATATGATAAATTTAAATTTGATGTCAATATGACTCCTATTTGTAGGGAGCGCAACCTATATGTGTTTTAACTGTTTTGAAAAGTCATAACTTATCGTCCGTACCTGTATAAAATTATTGAGTAAAAAAATATACATTTACGACACTTTTTACGTAAAAAAGGTCTCTTAGTAAAAAAACGATTCTCGAGATATTTGAAATCGAACTTATTAGTACCTGTCATTATTGACATAAATTAAACATGTCGACTAAATAGTTATTAGACTGAAATCATAAATTTGAAATGTTTTTGTGCCAAAAGTTCAACGGAAACTGTTTTATCATTTCCGCAGAAAAATTTATGATTAATTTAAAAAATTAACATTTTTCCAAATTTATTATTTCAGTCAAATATACGGAAGCGCTGAGGGGCCAGCTGAGTTCTTTTTATATACGACTATAGTCAGATAATAACCGACTATAGACAGATAACAAATGACTATAGTCAGATCATAACTGACTATAGCCAGATCATAACTGACTATAGCCAGATCATAACTGACTATAGCCAGATAATAAATGACTATAGTCAGATAATAAATGACTATAGTAAGATAATAAATGACTATAGTCAGATAATATTTGTGCACTTTTAGACGCTCCTGGATATGTTAAGCATGCGCAGTATATTTTGCAACAGGTGGTTTTCACGTGGATTTCATTAACTGTTCAAACAGAAATGAATAAGCTTGCGCTGTTTAGTTTACGATTTCGGGAATACTTTTCAGAGGCTCTAGGGAATGCTACATGAAAATCCAAAAATAGAATAAAAATATACCCTTTTCATTTAAAATAAGAAAGTTCAGTGTCTTAGGGAAGAAACTATAAATTTGACAGCATCCCCTCTATCACCATTGGATCAAGCTTAATCAAGTATTCCCGTATACCAAATATCATAAAATTAAGTCTAACGGTTTCTGAGATATATAACCGTTTCGGGACTTTTGACTAACCCTGTATAATATTTTATAGGACATAAAATCTTTATATGAGACTATCTGGTACCCGGCATGCGTTACAATGCCAAATGCTGAAAAACAATAATATAGTTGGAGCATTTGCCAAATTTGCCTAAATTTTCAATGAAGAATATAGTCATTTATTATCTGGCTATTATAGCCAGATAATAAATGAAGAATGAATAATATTCAACTCACCTTGACTATTATAGTCAGGGTGAGTTGAACCATTAGCTATTAAAGATTATGTAGTCTCAGATGGTCTCTATTATATACACCCTGTATATAAACTTATGGTTAAAAATTGAGGTCTAAACTTAAAAAATACATTTAAGACTATGCAGTAGGGTTATATTAGAATAAAAATGTATCAGTCAGACAGCAAAATATCGGGACACGTAGCATCAGCGCTGTAATATACAGGGTGTTAATTAAGGATGTGGCCAAACTTCAGGGGGGGATTCTTTGAGTTATTTTAAGGTAAAAAATTCATATAAACATGTGTGTTCAGAAATGGATATTTTTGAAGATACAGGGTGTCAATGATAATTAAATGGGACAAACATAAAACTGGTCGTACAATAAAGTTTTTATTTTTTTTTGTCAAAAACCCCCCTAGTATCAAAGGGATGGCCTCCGAAAAGTAGGCCCAAAATCGTAAAATAACCAACGCAAGCTTATTCACTTCTTTTTGAACAGCTAATTAAATCCACGTGAAAACCACCTGCTGCGAAATATACTGTGCATGCTTAACATATCCAGGAGCGTCTAAAACTGTACAAATATTATCTGACTATAGTCATTTATTATCTGACTATAGTCATTTATGATCTGACTATAGTCATTCGTTATCTGACTATAGTCGGTTATTATCTGACTATAGTCATATATAAAAAGAACTCAGCTGGCCCCTCAGCGCTTCCGTACACAAATAACTGTCTACTTAACGTGTGTTTATTTTTTTATAATGACATGTATTCTCTTTCCATTCGAAATATCTTGAGAACGGTTCCTCGTAGAGATTTTTACCAAGAGACATTTTTTACGTAAAAAGTCATGAAAAAGTATATTTTTTGACGCACTCGTTTTATACAGGTACGGACGAAAAGTTATTAATCTTTAAAACCGTTAAAACGCATTTAGGTGGCGCTCCCTACAAATAGGAGTCATATTGACATCAAAATCAAATTTTTCACATCAAAAAACTCCCAGACACCAATTTTCATCCAGCTATTGACTATACTTCAGAAATTAATTGAAAAAAATCGAAATAAAAATTAAACTTCTACACCCTGTATATCCGAAACTAAGCATTTTAGGACACACATTTATACGAACTTTTTTACTTATTGCCTGCAGAATATGCTGCCGAAGTTTCCGGAATACAGTTCGGACCACCCTGTATATAATTCTTCAGTAGATTAATCAATTGCATTTGGTTGAAGGCAACTGTCCATTATCAGTCTATAAAAATAATATATTATACTAGCACAGTGGCTTTGTGTAGTATTTTAATAAATACATTTAAATTTTTACTAGATGACAACTGTATTATGCTTATAAAATCTTAATAACAGTTCACTGCTACAACAGAATTATATAGGTATATACTCATAGACATAAATAGGATTACATAAAAAAAACATTTAATTACCAGTTGTGTAGGTTTATACACTTCAAGACTAGAATAGAATATTTTTCTTCATGCAGGTGTAAAAATGTGAACGTGAATTAGTTTTCTGTTTGTTTAATGCTTGTTTGATATTTCTTATGTTTCAATGGGATTTGGGGAGGTCATGCGTGTATAATTATCTTTAAGAATTATAGATTATTAGTAGATATATACAGTGTATTAGCTATAGATATAGATACATATATACAGGGTGTAAAAGTAGTGTATCTAACTTTGCTCGGTGATTCTACGATACGATAAGACAGAACAGTGGCGGACACAGGAATTTGTTTTAGTGGAGGCCCAAATCAAAAATAATGTAATATGCCTTTTAGGGCGTCATTTTTAACCCAAAAGGCTAATATTAAACCAAATTTATAGATTTTAGGGGGGGCCCGGGCCCCATGGGCCCCCCCTCTATATCCGCCACTGAGACAGAAAGCTCCTATCAACATATGCCCAAAAATGCTTCCCGAAGAATTGTACGAAACGAATCCAATCTATGGAACCAGATCAACTACGGTCACTCCAGGATATTGCCAATGATAGCGAATACGAGTCCACATCTGCTAGACCAGAAAACGGATTGTAGGCTCATTAAACATGATTTTGGAGAAAAGATAAGAATTCGCATCCAGGTAAGAGAAGAATGGGAAAGCAACCTAGTAATGAACACTCAAGAGATAGCAGTTTACACAGGTGCTTCCGTGACTTGGTATAAGGTACAGGTATAAGCATCTTATCAGGGGAACTAGACATCCGACGATCTTTAAGGCTATCGGCTGTTTGTAATGTTTTACAAGCAGATGTTTACGCTATAAAGGAAGCGGCCAGTTGTATACGAGGGAAAATCGCTGATACACCAATAGGAGATATAGTGATATACACTGAGAAAAAGGATCTCTCAGTCGAAATGAATATGAGTTTGACCCAAAAGATTGGTGCTTTTCAATAGGGCCAAGAACGACGTTTCTTTGCTCAAAGCATTAACTATCTTTTCATAAGCTTTAAAAAATTACTTTAGGGAATCGAAGAATCTATCTGTCTA